CCATCAGCAGCTGCAGCAATACCATCAGCAGCTGCAGCAATACCATCAGCAGCTGCAGCAATACCACCGTCAGCTGCTCCGCGCGCCTCCCAACATCTGACGAGTTCCCTGGGCCACATATGGATGGCCTCCTCTCAGCTACAGATGGACAGACTCCATCAAACATTATTTCCTTAGAACGCCGTCGCTGTGCAAAATATCGATTCATTTGATGCGCATGCGTTGCTATTTTTCAGTTAATTGCTCTCACGGCAGATGGCAAACTTTCCACGTCGTAGTACGTTTGAATAAGAAGATTTTATGCGTAGGATGCTGTAGTTAGTGTAGTAGTATGATTATCAAGGTACATATATCGAAAATTTTTACATAGATTTTGCTCATTTTACGTCTTACCCGAAGAATACCATCAGCAGAATATTGCATTTTCTTTCAGATACGGACAAAGGGAATAAGTATGAAAGTAGGAAAGATAAATGTAACTCATGCCAAGGATGTTTTACGAACACAACGGTATCTTTGGAGATGGTAAGCAGTTCCCGCCTTGGAAGAAAGGGCTGTTGTTATAAAATGAGCACAGGTTGTTCCTTCTCTAAGCTGCGCTCTTGAAGAAAAGACTAAACAGAGTACCTATTGCTCGAAGAATTTAAATAAAATAATAAAATAGAGATGATAAATAACAGCAGCAAAAAGCGGGAATAATAGTTATTAAAAGCAAAGAATTAGTACGAAACTTCCTCAAAAGATTAGAAAGGGAAACGTTGTTCAGCACGAAAAAGGCGATAAATTATAGGTGAAGGGGAATAAGATCTGAGACAGAGACAGAAATCAAGTTAACGAAGGAAAGTGTATTGAGAAGAGCGCGACCTTTTGTGTATTGTATGAAGTAGCAGTTAAAAGAAATATGAGACAGATGAAATTTTTTAAAAATATCTAGATCAAATTTTATATAAGCATAAGGCTCAGAACAAACATGGGGACTGTAGCAAGTAATTACCTTATTGGAAAGTTTAAAAGAGCCAAGCAAGAACATGAAATTAACTAAGCATGAACATGAAATTAACTAAATAAGCATAAACATGGAACCCGAAACGAAAGAACGGACAAAGCATGAAGAATGGAACATGGAATCCGAAACGAAAGATTCGAACCAACAAAGAATGAGCATAAAACAAAAAGAAAAACCAAGCATGAACATTAAACCTACACACGACACGAAGCATGAACATGAAACGAAAGAAGAGCCGAGGAGACGCGCATGCGAGCCTGAGGCGCTGGTGTCGGCGAGACGAGCTTCCTTTCCGGCGCAGGCTTCCGTTCCTTGCTAGTGATCACGCGTGAACGCACTAGATCGCATTAGAAGGCACTAGATCGTAATAGAACACACTAGATCGTAATAGAATGCACTAGATCACATTAGAAGGCTCTAAATCGGCTTAAAACGCATTAGTATGCACTGAAATGCTCAAAGCCAGATGAGGACGTACGTCGGGACAAGCCAGATCACCCAGATGCGGACGTACGCCAAGACAAGCCAGATGCGGACGTACAGTACGTCGGGACAAGTCAGATCACTTAGATGCAGACGTACGCCGGGTGTGTGCACCAATAACGTTATTTTAGCTCTTTGTACGCCGCGTTGTACGCCAGTAGAAGGGCTTGGAGCCTCGTTTACGCCGGATTAATCCGCAGAAAACGGCACCATCCTGGGTATGGCCTGAATAAGTTCATTCACTTCTTATTGCAAGTGCGTAACACAATAATGTAGTTATGTCACTATTGATGGAAATCACAAAGAATAACATCTTCACTATGTACATGCACTCACCACGAACAGCCAATTCACGAACACCCAATGTGAAGTCCAATTTGTATACCAAAGTGAAAAATTAGGTAGACACTGCCTGCAACTTGGATTAAAATGCCTGTGAATCTGTTCAATTTCACCTGTTCCTATGGTTTTTTTTTGCAATTTATTCAGTTTTTTCTTTTTTTTTTTTGGCAATTTCAACTGCTTATTTTCACCCTTGATTTTTAAAATTCATGGGTGAAACAATTTTTTTGCCTGCAGTTTCAGGAAACTTCTATGCATAGTGGAATTCTAGGAATAGAGGCCAGGGTGCAGAAAGTGGGTCACACTGTGGGCGAACATCAAAAGATCTCAGGCGACACACCAGCAGCAAAATTTATGCCTTCAGGAGATCTTGCCAACACATTTGGATTGAAATTATTGCATTTTAGAAATTGCTTTGAAATTGTTGCAAATCTGAAAGGCTGCAAGCGCAAACAGCAAGGTTTCTGGTAGGCATGGAATATATCTACTTGGCAAGCCGCGACTGAATTTTTGGAGCCGTTGTTTTATGGATTTGCCAGCCGTGATTCCATTTCTTTGAGCCATGATTTAATTTCTTTGAGCCATGACTTCCATATCTTGGCCATTAAAAGCCATTTATGAGCTGGCAGCTGCCAACTTTTTACTAAGTCCCATGCACATGTTATCCCTAATCTCTAATTTTAACCTAAAAACAGTCAACACCAACATTTTTCTTCACTTGAGTGGCAACTGATCACATGATAATGCAGTCTGACCGCTCTGACGTGATTGCAACTACGTAATCTATAAAGAAATGTTTTAGGTCAACTTGTTGTTTCATTGTGCAGGATATTTTGGCAGGATCGTTGAAAAATTGTGGACTGCAGAAGTTGGAAATTTTATGAAATGACATGTTTGCGAGTGCAAACTGCAATTTTTTCAATCAAACAAAAAGACATGACATAAGAGCCTCGAGATTTTATACCTACTGAAATTATATGATATTAGAGCCGCAATATTTCGGAAAAAAATAGGACTTTTCCAGCCCTGGTTTCCAATACATTTTGATGGATTAGGATGCAGTGAAGCTTGTCTGGAAATCTGTTGTGATGAGTGTAAGTGTTGCAGTGCGTGGAGAGTAAGGGATATACTATCAAAGTTGCTTGCAGCACTTTCTTATTAAAAATTACCTGGCGACGCATCTTGAAAATGGCTGGCGACGTTTTGGGCTAAAAATCCATATCTTGGCAATGCTGCTTGCAAATTCCCCACCCTGGATGTTGTCTAATGTTTATTTTGTGCACAATTGTGTTTTGTGAGAAGTGGTGCTAGTATGCTGTGTACCAGTCCATTAAAATTGACGATATGTTTATAATTATAAAATGCCATGCTCTTTTATATTACTATAGAATTGCATCATGGGCAGTCAGGGCAGAAGTTTTCTAAAATTATGGGGACCAATAATCATTTAAAGGGCACTTTTAAAAAATCTGGCATTGTGACAAATCCACACAATCGGCAGGTTAATTGAAATAATTGTAGAACTTCAACATTTAATTTTAGCACCCTAATAGCATAACAAAATCTATCTCTCCAAATTCAGTGAGATGTAAAATGTAGTTCTGGAAGTAAATTGGCAGGGAACAGGCTTTCGGACTGCGCTGCTAACAATGGCCAATCAGGTTGTTGTTGCGGCCAGGTGACTTGCTGGTGTTCATTTGGTGATGCAATTGTTACGTAAAAAACATGGAGCTGCAGGCCGTTCTCGATTACAGGATACTGTAAAGAAACCGGGTTTAAGTTAGATACTATTGGATTGCACGGGTGGACTATTGCTGACATTATTGAATTTAATACCCAATGTAACAGTAAGCTTTACAAACCTGAGTATTTATTGCTCAGTGTGATATACACCATTGGAAAGAGATTCAATTGAGGAAAATAAGCTGAAATCAGTGGGAGGGGTGGGAAGTTGGCCGGAAGGGATAGAAAGAAAAGTTGAAGATTTAATTAATTAGGAGAGTAAGAAATAGACTAAAGTTTAGTTTTTAACATTCTAATGCTCGCGTGCACTGTTCAGGTACACAGCGCTTTATGTGAGAAACATTAGTCATTCAGCTTTTGGCTAATATTGAAATATTTAAGTATATCGAAATGAGAATCTCGTATACAAGTTTAATTTAAATTTAATATTTGAGCCTTAACCTAGTGCCAACTTCCCACAGAGATAATTTGAAAGTGAAACAACTCAACAAAACGAAATGCAAACGTCATTCATACAAACCAAAACATAGGGAAACAGGATATCAGGAAGGAATTTAGAAATGGTTAGCCGGAGGCGAGATGGTCGTTTTGCTGCCTATAGCTGATCAAATGCTCAGTTTCGATAATGGGTGTTGCACTTTACACCGGCTGTTATACAGCAGAAAACTACTATTACTATGAAATTTACTAACTCCAGCGGCGTCACCACCTTTGTTTTCTACAGCTTGCGTTTTTTTTCCCAATTGCCGACCCGTTCCAAATCCCCTGCCTCTACAACCCACTTATTCTAAATATGATTTATCCAGAAATACGTAAACAGAACAACGAAAACTTTTAATCGGAAAACGCAACCTTAAAATAATCTATGAGACTATGAATAGCTTGCTAATGGTGAGAAATGAATTTCTCACAGCATATAGTTTCAAGAGAGGCATTATGCATTAGCTAGTGTAAAAAGTGGTATTTACTCTATGAGCTGTACCTGGATTTATGGGGTTGTAAGTTTCTCAAATTTGTGCCATGAGTTTAAAATTTGAGGCTGCAATGCCATTTTTGAGCCATGAGTGCATATGAACCAGAAAAGTTATTATTCAAACCATAACAAGTTTTGCACCTATATCTAATTCTACCCCAAAAATGGGAACATGAAGATTTTGCTTCACATTAAAGGCAATTCTGGACATTAAAGCATGATCTTTTTGTTTTTGTCAGAGATGCTTTTTCAAGTTTCATTCAGCAAAAAAATGCCTAATAAATTCACCATATCTTCAGCAAAAGTAGGAATACAAAAATCAAGACCATGGTGTCCAAGAGCTTAGTTTGCACTTGCTTGTCTATTGTCTCTTTATTTTTCTTCTAATTTTTGATTAAGATAATGAAAATTTACTTTGCATTTTCTGTGCTTTTAAATTCTAAGGGAACTTGCAATTTAAGCCAACTAATGATTCAAGTTGGTATTGTGGCTGAGACTTGAATTCATTCCCTCCTAAATGCAGGAGCCCTCTAGTAATATATAAATAATCAAATCCATCCCTCTTCCATGTAAAAAAATAACCAAAGTATCCCTGAAACAATATTGAACTTTAAAATTTATAAAAGTCCTGGCATAAATGACTCTAATTTAATTTGTTTATATCTTAGAATTTTTCTTCTGTATTCATATTACAATATGTACCTACTACTGTACATACACTTTAAGAGGAGCATCTACCCTAAAAATCAAAATTTTTGGCTTTTCCAGTTTATAAGCTCATCTTAAAGCTTACTTTCTGCCGCATCAAACAGTACTAGAACCATCTCTGTACGTTGATTTATGCTTTCAGGACAGATCCCAAAAAGGGGGTGGGTGGTGGGGTCCCTTAACAAAAGTCTATGGGGATAATTATGGCCAAGCCATATAAAATAGCTATCACTGGACCTGCAGCTCAGTTATCACTCAGCCATCACACGGAAAGATGTTGATATAGTCGTCCTATGCACTGCTGACTTGATTTTGAAGTGAGATAATGCTTACTTCCGGTATCTAAGCTACGTTACATGCCTTTGCATAGCACGCCTCGGATTTTTGCCTCTACTGAAAAGTTTGAAAACATGAAAACCTCTCTCACGGCAAACCTATCTCCTCCTAGAGTTTTGAAGCTACATCAATGAGACAAATGCCATTCGATTTGCAAAGAAAAGATCTACAAACTGGTTGTGGGCTTTTTTCCAAGTTCATTATAGTTCGGATTTTATTTTTCAAAAATGGGGAAAAGTGGAGGTAAAATCGAAAATATCAAAAAATTTTGGATGAATGCTCCCACACCCACAAAAATGAGAAATTAAAAAACCCTTACAACCAGTTTGTAGATATGGTCTTTACGCAGCAAATGATGTGTCTCAATGTTGTAGCTTGAAAATCCTAGGAGGAGATAGGTTTTATAAAGTACCGGTACTCCTTTTTGGCCATTTTCTAAGAATTTCACATTTTCTTTCAATTTTTTTCAAAAAATTTACATGAATAAAACATGACTTTTTTAGGGTTTACACAATACACATGTGTACCAAATTTCAAATTGATCCCTCTGTAAATTACCAAGATAAAATTTAGGGTAGACGCTCCCCTTAATACATTGGTATAAAAGGTAATTGAACAAACATTCTTTAAAATATAATACGGTATATGGTAGTGAATATTTTCTAGTACTAATTCTGTAAAAGTTTTCTTTATATTTTTTCAGTAACCTTCAAAACAAATCTTATGTATAAAATTATTGATTTTTATCTACAGACCAAATAAAATCATGCTTATTTAGGTGATGTTGACATAATTCATGAATATATGTTGTCCAACCCAGTTTCCAAGACAACCAATATATTTATATAACCCTAATCACTCTTACTTTTCTTTCAGAGTGCAGTATTGGTGTTTAGAGTGATATGATTATTTCATAGGTAAAGAGCAGCTTGCCCCTGTTGGTGTATACTTTTTATTTTGGACCTTATTTTTGTTTGTTAAACCATGACTGACTTTTTGGAGAATGAGGCTGAAGTTAGCAGTGGAGACGATGAAGAATATTCTGCCAAAGAACGGAAGAAAATCAAGCACATGAAACATGTTCCTTCAGATTCTTCTGAAGAGGAAGAGGATGGTTTGTTTTCTTCATTTTAAGTCTCATAGATGCTTACTTTTTATCTGTTTCAGTTGATGAATAATCATATATATTTTATTTATAAATTATGTCTTCTAAAGACTCCAATGCTTCATATGAGATTTACCTTCTGCTCTATTTTCCTGAAAAATGATGCAATAATAGTGTCTTCTCTAGGAATCATAGTCCAAGTTATGTTTCCAATCTGTTAATAATTTTTTTATGCTCAGATGTATTATTGGATGTATATTTACTTTGTTTTGCCACTGGAAAATTTTTTGAATGAACAATTAACAAAAATCATTTTGCATCATTGACATGGGGTAATAATAAGAGAGGTTTATCAATATAGGATTCTAATTTATTTTTCAGACGAAGATCGAATCCGAGAGGAAAATAAAGGTTTCATCAATGATGATGACGACGACGAAGGCTCGGGAAGTGGTAGTGGTAGTGGCAGTGATAGTGATCAAGATGATCGCAAGCCGAAGCGCAGACGGGAGGATGATGATGATGATCTTGATGCTGATAACCTGGATGAGGACGATCTAGATCTCATTGAGGAGAATATTGGTGTCAAGATAGACAGAAAGGTGAGCCAAGTAGTTGACTGACATGATTTTTTATTCTTCAGGGAACATATAGCAATTGTGATCATTTTTGATGATTAAATATTTTTGTGGGTTAACACATTCATTGTTGGATGAGTTGTATTATGAATATTGTTGTATAATGTTACATAATTTTTTACTATTAATATTTGATGGACTTGTAAAGTTTGGAAATGCTTGATGAAACATTTGAGCATTACAATATATATAACATAAGTACATAGTGTGATTATAAGAATGATGATAGTTTTTGCCATTATAAGCAGGCTGACTACTGGAATAATTTTATATTGTTTTTTTGCCAATATATATAGCTGATGGTATTAATAATTTGTAATTATATGTCGGCTAACAGAAAAAGTTCAAGCGCCTGAAGCGTGTCGTGGATGAAGACTCAGATGACGCCGACGATGGCGACGGGAGGGACCAGATCGCCAATGAGCTCTTCCATGGGTCTGATGTGAGTCACTGCACACGCATAAATGAATGAGTAATATTATCTAAATAATAGCAAATAGCACACTTATTACTACTTTACTACATTAAATACTACTATACTACAAGAAATGAAAGAGTCAAAATGAAGGCAAATACGTCGTAGTTATTTGCTTCCCTCAGATGTGGACTAAATTACAGTACGGAAACAGTTACTGTATTTCTCATTCATCATCAACATGCGTGTAGTATTTTACCTTACGCGATTAGATTATTCACTGTATCTCCGAGACTTTATTAGACTCTTCCATTTTAAGTCCTATTATAGTTGACGAACCAAGTATCATGGTTACCAGCATTGTTCTCCATTGATATTGGATGAAACTTTGAACTAGATCAGGGAATTGCAAATGAACAGGTTTTTCAAAAAATCTCTTGCTTGCATTATACTCTTAACTAAATTTAAAAAAATCTAAACTTTGAACTTGATCAGGGAATTACAAATGAACAGTTTTTTTGAAAAATCTCTTGCTTGCCATTATACTCTCAACTAAGTTGAAAAAATTTAAACTTTGAACTTGATCAGGGAATTACAAATGAACAGTTTTTCAAAAAATATCTTGCGCGTCTGCATACTCGTCTCAACTAAATTGAAAAAATCTAAACAAATTTTCAGGACGAGGATCGCAGGTCTACCAGCCCGGCCCCTCGAGACACGGGGGCTACAGCCCATGAAGACATCGGGTCCGGGGGCGAGTACGAGGAGAGTGACGAGGAAGACTTCATTGTTGACGACCAGGGCAAGCCTATACAGAAGAGCAAGAAGAAAGCCATCTTTGAGGACGAGGGACTGGAGGCTGCCAGGGATATTTTTGGTTGTGACTTTGACTATGGAGATTTCGAGCAATATGATGGTGAGTTTAGAACATGATTGCATTATTTTATTAGGTATTTATTAGAAATAATATATTTTTGTTGGTTTCATTTAAAAAAATTAACATTTTCCTAATTTTCTATTCTTATAAATTTGTAATTTATTGAGATTATATAAATGAGAGAATGTTATAGTAGATGTAAAAGAGAGAATTGACTAGCGTATGGATGGTTTGTGCAGCGGAGGGCGTGGTTGACAGCGACGAGGCTGACGATGAGGAGGACGAATATGAGGAAGACGAGGACGATGATGACGAGGAAGCGGCGGCAATTAGGAAGGAAGCTCTCAAGAGGAAGAAAGAAAAGAAGAAGAGAACACTCAAGAAAACTATTTATGACGTAAGTCATGCACTTGGCGCTAAATTCATTAGTGTGCTAAGACAAGTCATGATGTGGACGGCAGAAAATTGCCTTATTGTTTTATGCACAAAATGAAAATTAGAAGGTACTCATTTTGAAAAGTATTGTTTGCTCGGAAAAAATTATATTTCTTGTTTTATTATGAAAAAGAGACTAAATTCTCGCATTTTCTTGGGATAATTAATTGGTATTTAAGATCAAAAATTCCCTAGTGTGGGAATTTGAATGCAAATTGCATTCTAGTCTCAGAGTGGGTATGAATGGTTTATGTAGTACTTCAGATAAAAAATTTTCACGACCTAATGTTCCCCACGTGGCGATGTATTTTAATGCTACCCTCCCCATACTTTCACGTCCTAATGTTCCCCACGTGGCGATGTATTTTAATGCTACCCTCCCCATACTTTCACGTCCTAATGTTCACGTGGCGATGTATTTTAATGCTACCCTCCCGATGCTTTCACGTCCTAATGCTCCCCACATGGCGATGTATTTTAATGCTACCCTCTCCATACTTTCACGTCCTAATGCTCCCCACATGGCGATGTATTTTAATGCTACCCTCCCGATGCTTTCACGTCCTAAAGCTCCCCACATGGCGATGTATTTTAATGCTACCCTCCCGATGCTTTTACGTCCTAATGCTCTTCATATGGCGATATAATGCAGCCCTCGCGTTCCTCTTCAGGTATTCGAGCCTGCCGAGCTGGAGCGCGGTCACCTCACCGACAAGGACGCCATCATCAGACAGGAGGACGTGCCTGAGCGCTTCCAGCTCCGTCAGATCCCCGTCACTCCTACGCGCGAGGATCCCGAGGATCACAGCAAGGATCCCATCCTCCTGGCCGAGGCTGATTGGATCTATCAGAATGCTTTCAGCAAGCCGTCCATATCTCGACAGGTAAATTAATTTCATGTCATATTAGTTGCTGTCTTTAGGTTATTCATTTCCTAAAGTATATATAGAAAACTTCACCTTGTCTAAATCCAAGCCAGTATAAAAATGTTTTTACAATTTTCCTATTAGCGGGATACCTCAAGCGTAAAATAGAGGCTCTAAACCATACCCACTCAGTATAATTAATTCATAATTTATTTTCATTATTATTATTCCCGATTTTTGCTTCAGTCCTTTGTTGACGTTGTAATCTGCGCGTTTTTCCTTGCTTTCTCAACTCAATTGAGCATCAACTTAGCTTCGAGATTGATTATCATCGTGACTTGGACAATTAGACATTTTCCGATTGTCGGACAAATATTCATATATTTGTTATATTTTATTCTCGAAGCCAAATGCTCGCAGTATTTTCATTAAGCTGCCGTTTTTCTGCACTTCAGGACACGACAGACGATCTGTGCGACACGCGTCGTGATGACCGCGACCGCAGCTACCGCTACAACCGCGACTGCAATCGTGAGAACATCACCGCCAAAATCTACAACGCTCTCGACCTGATGCGCAACCACAAGCTGGAAGTTCCTTTCATTGCTTTCTACCGCAAAGAAGAGGTACAGCCTGAGCTCAAGATTCATCATCTATGGACCATCTATCAATACGATGCCAAGTTCTGCCAGTTGGAGCAGCGTAAGAAGAACCTGCAGGAACTGCTCAAAAACTACCACAACTTCCAGATGGAGACGGTCATGAGCCGCCCTTTGGATGCGCCTCTTCCTGAAGGCACCAGAATCCTGCAGACAGAGGAGATAGAGAGGTTTGTTTCTCGCCCTCTACGAAATTTTAAATGCATCTTCGAGTCATATCTATTGTTGTGGCATTTTGCTTGACTGTCTCACAGGTCCGCGCCTCATTTGACTTGTTAACAACGAAGGTTCGTATGCCGCACTTGCTCCTTCTTTCACTAATTTATCCATTTTGCATCATTTCTGTTTCTTTGGTTTATTCACTTTATCGCAATCACGTTATTTTGAATACCAACGGAGATATTTTATGAAATTACCGATTGCTTTAAAAAAATTGCTATCACTTTCAACTCAATCGTTCATCGCGTTCAGGTATGATAGCCTTATTCATAGATATATATTGTGAATCCTGTAGCTCTTTCAAGTTTTTTTAAAGTTAAAATATTAGTTGCTCTGCCCTTGGTATTTTATTTAGATACAACTGTAAAGGAATCATTTTGTGTGCGTAAGACAAGTGTATTTCGTCGTCAGAGTGTCAGAGATTGAGAGCACAGAGCAGATTGGTGACTGCTCGAAGCACTTCATGCTGCACTACGGCAGCCAGCGCGAGATGATGCACGAGTACAGGCGACGTAAGATCAAGGAACAGCGACAGGCCTCGCGTAAAACAGTCACGCGTACAGTCAAGGTTAGTAGCAGTGCTTCGTTAAGTATTTCAATGATATATCCTTGCAGTACCTACATTATGTACCTTTTAAATTTTTTGACAAGAGTGGAGTTTATTTTGATTTTGCGCCAGCTGGTCTCACCGTCTCAGTTACGAAGTCTTCAAAATATTTCGTGTGACTCAGAAATGCTCTGGTCAAACCATGTTCAGTTTCAAGCCTCAAGCGTGTGAACCATTTTCATGGTAAAGTAAAAACTAATCGATTGAAACATCGCTAATCCCGATTCAGGTGATGCGGAAGGTGAAAAGGAAGAAGCGCAAGAAGAAGCGTGCCATCATCGACGACGATGAAGACGTGGAGATGCAGGCTTCTCCAAGTCGGCGTAGCAGATCTCGATCGAAGTCTGGTTCCCGATCTCGATCCAAGTCTCGATCCAAATCTCGATCTCGATCTAAATCTGGTTCTAGATCTAGATCTCGTTCAAAGTCCGGTTCAAGGTCTCGTTCGCGTTCCAAATCGGGTTCGAGATCGAGATCTCGCTCCAAGTCTAAAGCAAAATCACGCTCCAATTCGAGGTCGAGGTCTCGATCTAAATCTGGCTCACGGTCCCGGTCTCGGAGTCGATCCAACTCTCGCTCCCACTCGGGGTCTCGTCCGCATTCTGCTGCCAGCAATCGATCTGGATCTCGAGGAGGGTCGCCTGCATCTCGGGGGAGTCAGTCCCCAAAATCGAAAGGCCGCCAGTCCCCGGCATCAGGCGGTGCGTCTCCAGCATCAAAAAAGGACGAGTCTCCTGTTTCGAAAGTTTCTCGGTCACCCGTCGCAGGACGAAGGGAAAGCCATGACAGTTCATCTGAAAATCTTGCGCCCACATCAGCTGCTACTGCCGCGCCTCCTCCTGATAACGATGATGACATCGACAACAGAAGTGAAGGATACCAGAGCGGTGGGGAGGAAGGAGGTGCTGAGCGCACTACCACGCCAGCGCCTCCTGCAGGGCAAGAGCCCCCAGCCGCTGCGTCTTTGGAGGCTGGCGTGAACGCTCTTGCTGTGACCAGCGATGACGAGACGCGGCAGAAAGCTGACAGCGATAGCGAGGAGGAGGTGGAGACTGAAGTAGAAACTGAGATTGAAGAAGAAGTTGAAGACGAAGATGAGGAGGAGAAAAAGGATGAAGAAAGCGAATCGCTTAAGAAGGCCATACGTCGTCATGAATATGAGCTGCTCAAGAAAGCCGGCATTGGTGAGTATGAGTAACTTGTTTTATTATTTATTATCTGTTACGCATTTTAAGTTATGTCTCCGTGTCAAATGAGGTTAACATACGAAGTTTCCGCAATTTCTCGGGATTATTTACTTTTTTGAATGAACTAAACAATATTGCAAGTTATATTTTCATTACGCATTCGGTTAGCGGAAAATGCAATTACAAATAATGATTATGAGTACAAATTATAATCGGAAAATAGTCGGCGAGACCTCGATGAAGTATAACGTGACGATTCGTCATAAAAGGGCTACTTAATCTACCGACATTTCAAAATTACGCGTGATTTTGCAATTGTTAAATTGATGAAGAATGAATCAGGTAAATGAATCACGTAAATGTAAATCATGTAAATGAATCGGGTAAATGTGCATGAAAAATTGGAAACAAATAACAATGAGATTTGGATCAATGAATTTTGAGCTAAAAATTCTTTCGATTGAAAACTACATTAGAGCCCTGGGGCTTGCCTGGAGGTGTGAATAAGGAAGTACAAAACGCTACCGAAAAATTCATGAAGCCACCAGAATAGAGGAATGTTGGCATGTGCTGCACAGCTTTACTGTGCCGGTATGTGATGCACAGCTTCCCTGTGCCGGTATTTGATGCACAGCTTCCCTGTGCCGGTATTTGATGCACAGCTTCCCTGTGCCGGTATTTGATGCACAGCTCGCCCCTTACAGAGCCGCTGACGAAGCAGTTCGGGCTGACTCCTGAACAGTTCGGGGAGAACTTGCGTGACGACTACCAGCGCTACGAAGTTGATCAGTGCCACGTGGAGCCGCTCAAGGAGGCCGAGGCTTATCTCTCCAAGTATGTATTCTTTTGCTCTTTATAATTTATTACCGCTTGTGTGTGGTAAGTACTCTTATAAACCTCAATACCAATTACGACTTGGATGTGGTAAGTAATTAATTAATCAGCCTAATCTAGTTAAGCATCTTAATGATCAACAATTACGAATTGCATGTAGTAAGTATCCTCATGAACCTCATGACCGATTACGAATTAGAGGGATAATTTTTTTGAAAAATTAATGACCTGTTACGTATTAAGGTAAGTATTTTTATAATACTAATGACCTAAAACACCTTGGATGTGAAGAATTGCTTTCACTCCAACCGGCGTGACACCGTCTGAAATTGTCAAATTAAATACGTTGCATCAGTCAAGTTTTTCAGACCGAGCAATTCGAATTAAATGTACAGTTATTTCGAGCCACCTCGTTGAACGTAGTTTTCGATACAAAATTGATACTATTTCTATAAATATATCTATTTATCCAATGCAAATTCTTGATTGAGGCCAACGGATTCATGGCTATTTACTTCAGTCATATTTTTATGCAGTTCCAAGGTCAGCATTTTAATTGTAATGTTATATGCATCTGTTTTGATTTTTTCTACTTAATTGCTATTAACTTTGGTTGTAACTTTTAAATATATTTTCTTGTGTAAGTATCCTATCTTAAGAGTAAACCATTACAGAATGTGCACGTCGCCGACGCACGTGTTGGAGGGCGCAGTGCGCATGCTGGGGTGGCAGCTGGCATGCGAGCCGCTGGTGCGCAAGACGGTGCGCGAGGTGTACTTTGAACGCGCCAGACTCGATGTCCGTCCTACACAAAAGGGACTCAAGCTTATCGATGAGCAACATCCTCTTTATGCGCTTAAGTACATCAAGAATAAACCAGTGCATGACCTTCACAATGAACAGTTCCTAAAGCTCAAGACCGCCGTGGACGACAAGCTCATTGAAATTCAATTTTGTGAGAACATCGAGGGCAACAAAAGCTCCTCTTATCTTGACGAGATGAAGCAGCTTTATTACAAAGATGAATTCTCCAGAGTCGTGCAGGACTGGAATGACTTGCGTGGCCGCGCCGTTGAGTTTGCATACAAGAAAATAATCGAAGATTTGAAGCGAGAGTTAACAGAGCGTCTATTGAGCGAAAGCAGGAACCATGTTCTTGAAAGATGCTGCGCCAAACTTCATCACTGGATCAAAGTTGCCCCCTACGCGGCTGGCGACTTTGCTGACGAGGATGAGGACGACTGGGACACTTCGAAGGGCTTCAGAGTTCTGGCCCTCGCTTATGACCCTGACCCCTCACAGGCTGCGTTTGCTGCTGTGGTCGACGTAGATGGGGACATAATAGAATACAAGCGCTACCCTAATATGCTCAAACGCAAGGACGCTTACGATGAACGATTCGCCGCCATGAAAGAAGACGACCTGCAGAAATTCCGCGACTTGATCATGAGGCGTCGTCCTCACGTCATCACAATTGGGGGCGAGTCTAAAGAAGCGTTGATGCTCGTTGAAGACATTAAGGAAGTCGTTAGTAGCCTGGAAGAACAGGAACAGTTCCCCAAAATCAATGTAGAGTTGCTCGACAACACCTTGGCCATCCTATATGCCCTCTCGAAGAAAGGGGAAGCCGACTTCCCTGACTTCCCGCCTTTGCTGCGACAGGCGGTCTCCCTGGCGCGTAGGATGCAAGACCCTCTACTCGAATTCTCCCAGCTTTGCAATCCTGACGATGAAATTCTCAACTTACGCTACCATCCCCTGCAAGATTTGCTCAACCCTATTGAGCTTCTAAATCATCTAAGCATCGAATTTGTCAATCGTACGAACGAGGTTGGCGTTGATTTGAATTTAGCTGTGGCTTATCCATATCGACAAAATTTGGTCCAATTTCTCTGTGGTTTTGGGCCTCGGAAAGCTAATCAACTCATTAAGCAAATCAAGCAAAATGATCACCGCCTTGAGAACAGAAACCAACTTGTACTCACCTTCCATATGGGTCCAAAAGTTTATGTAAATATTGCCGGTTTCATCAAAATCGACACAGCTGCGGTCGGTTCAAGTGACACTTACATTGAAGTCCTCGACTCTACCAGGATTCATCCTGAAGCGTACGATTGGGCTCGGAAAATGGCGGTAGATGCACTAGACTGTGACGACGAAGATCTTAATAAACCCGCTGAGGCCCTCGAGGAAATTCTTGACTGCCCTGAGAAGCTGAGTGAGTTGGACTTGGAAGCGTTTGCCAAAGAGTTGGAGAACCAAGGCTTTGGATTAAAAAATACAACTCTTTACGACATCAGACACGAGTTGAACCACCGTTACAAGGACTTCAGAGCTCCATACGAGAGTCCCACAGCTGAGGAAATCTTCAACATGCTCACCAAAGAGTCTCCCGAAACTCTGTACGTAGGCAAGCTTGTGCAGTGCACAGTCATACGCTTCATCCACCGAAAACCTCGCGGTGATCAGCTGGACAATGCCAACCCTGTGCGTAATGAAGACTCGGGTTTGTGGAAATGTCCTTTCTGCATGAAAAGCGATTTCCCTGAACTCAGCGACGTGTGGAACCATTTCGATGCCGGTGACTGCCCCGGACAAGCTATCGGAATCAAAGTCAAGATAGATAACAATATCATGGGATTCATCAATATAAAGAATCTTTCAGACAAACCCGTTAACAATCCAGCAGAACGAGTGAAAAAGTTTGGTCTTATCCACGCTCGTATCACAAAGATCGATCCTGAACGATTCTCAGTAGACTTGACGTCCAGAACTTCTGACCTGCAGGACAAAGATGGTACTTGGAAACCCCCCAAAGATCATTATTACGACGCCGAAGCAGAGGAGAAAGACATGATCCAAAACCAAAAGAAAAGAGACAAGAAGAGCCGGACGTACCACAAGCGTGTTATTGCGCACCCTTCGTTCCACAACATCGACTACAAAGAAGTTGACAAGCTCCTCTCGGCCATGGACCAGGGCGAAGCCATCATCCGCCCCTCCAGCAAAGGCATTGACCATCTGACGGTGTCCTGGAAAGTCACCGAGGGCGTCTTCCAACATATTGACGTTATAGAGCAAGATAAACAGAACCATTTCTCGCTTGGTCGGCGTTTGTGGATTGGCACTCTAGAGTTTGAAGATCTTGATGAAATTCTCGCGCGGTATGTTTCTCCTGTGGCTTCAAACGTACGCCAAATATTGGAATACAAATACTACAAAGAGTCTGTAGCAGGCAGCAAGGAAAAGGCCGCTGAATATCTGAAGAGAGACAAAGAAAAGAACCCGAAAGCCATACCGTACATTTTCTCGCCAGTGAAAACTTTGCCTGGTAAATTCTTGCTTTCGTACCTGCCACGGACGAAAGTTATCCATGAACATGTCACTGTACTTCATGATGGCTTCAAATTCCGCGAAAAGCATCTCTTCCCGTCACTTGCTTCACTGCTTAAATGGTTCAAAATGAACTTCCGCAACATCACGTCGTCGGGTATAGGAGCTGCGACCCCTGGCCGTATGTCAAGCAGGACCCCTTATATGGGGGGCACGACCCCTAGCATGGTAGGCCTCGACACCCCCAGCATGCATAAATCTCACATGCTGCACAATATCTCGACCGTTGCCAGCGCGACGCCTTACAGCATCGCTACGCCTAATAGCAACTACTCGCAGACGCCTTACTCTAATTACGCTCAAACCCCTTACACTCCTTCTGGTCAGACGCCATTCATGACGCCATATGCCACCACCCCTGGCCCTTCGACCACCCCGCGTTACGGTGGTGTCACCCCAAATCCGAACCTCGCATCTCAGCTTCTGCCGCCCCCACAGCGCTCGCACATCGCCGCACATTATGGCAGCGCAACGAACGGCGCTGGTGTCACGCCCATGCCCGGGTACGGGTCAGGTGCTCCTGGGTACCACGGCAGTGGCGCCCCCATTGCCTCGCACATGAGCCACCGACCTCCGTCATCGCGTGCCAGTGCCTCGATGCACAGCCGCTCAGAGCAGCAGGACTGGAGTAAGGCAGCAGAGGCGTGGGCGAAGGCGAGCCGTAGTGATGGTCGAACTACCCCGCGGTACTCTAGCACGGACACCCGGCGTGGCAGTGGTGGTCGGTCTGAAGGTGGTGGTAGAACGCCTCGCTACAGTGAGGGTGGTAGCCGTTACCAGCCATACTCCCAGCCGGACTACGACGCCTCACGCTCTACTCCTCGCTCCGTACGCTCCACACCCAAGACCATCCATTCACCTACTAATATGAGCATCGGCGGCGACCAGACGCCTCTCTACGATGAGTGAACATCTTTGTCTAGGCGTAAAAAACTAGCGGGTTAATTATCTTGGTGATCAAACTTGCGTGTTTTGTGCCGGAACTCATGCCCAACGACTTTTCCGTGTCTGGTTTTTTCGAGTTTGACGTTTAGAATCCTAAAACTATCCATAAAATTCATCTATCTTTATAGCTGCATTACTGTTTGTGCTAAAATTCTGTACATTTATTACTGATGAGGCCTTGGTGCATGTTTGCCGATAATAGAAAAGTAACTTGTATTTATTGTGTAGTTTTGTGCCGTTGATGCCCTTACTATTTTCTTATTTGGGGAAAATTTTGGTGCCTGTTTTTAATATGCGAATTGTGAGGTACGTAATTCGAGTAATTTAAGAGTCATTTGTTCGTGTGGCGTAGCGACTCTATGTACATAATCCAGGAGTGAGATCTTAATGTTATATGGTGTAATTTTCACGCTAATCTCGCAGAGATGTGAACAAAGCTTAATCATCGACCAAGGGATACAAGAGGCGCTTCTGAACAAACTGGCAAAATCCAAGTTTTCAACTGATATCTTTTGCTCAGCTGGATCTCGCGAAATTATTCTCATGCTTTCATCTTAAGTTGATCAATTTGTATATCAAAAACGTTTTTATATCAAAGCCGCGTATAGAAACAATGCCTGATACCTTATGTTAATTGGCGCTGTAGAATATAGAAAATGCATGTTTGCTGTTCTTGAATTGAACGCAAGTTCCCGGATGCACAAAATAACTAAATCTTGGTCATGACAAATAAGGACAGCGGTGCAAGTTGCGTGTGTTGATTCCCGCAATTCTATTTCATTTATTTGGTTCCCCCTTGAAAATATTCCACTCCTTAAGTTCACACCATTCATGTATCAATGCAAAAAAATCCATAGTAATGGAGCCGTGCTTGTTATTATTCAACTTTAACATTATTGTAGTGTGTACTCTCTAGTGTATTATTTTATTGATTACTTTACTTATTCAGTTGTGGGTTGAAGTTCCGTCTTCAGACATTTCTCTCACGCCGACTTTGAGTCCGGTTTCCTCGCTGAGGTTCTAATCATGTATGGTTCTTGTATTATCCACGGTGATAATGAAGCCTTTCTGCTCATTAAGTGAACGAACAGACGTTCTAAAGCTCTAAAAGCTGCCCCCTACTTTCTCTTGAGTTCATGATCCAGTCGGAATCTTTGTGCAAGCTCATGTAACTATAGTAATTGTGAAGTTTATTTTGATGACGAGGGTAATCATGCATCGCCTTGTAATCAATATTGTCGGCGTGCGTAGATTATTTGAGTTATCCAGCAAAATAGTTGAACTCCATTTGTTCTGTTCAGTGTTGAGGTAATATATACGAATAAGTCAAATGGTGGAATTCTTTTCCTTTACTTACCTGTATTTATTTATTGAAGTTAGGGACATGTTGCTTTGAAGTAGATAAATTCTGTTGAACGCAGAACGAAGAGAGAACGAATGAGCCTTGCTGCTGTCGGCCGGTCTTCGAATGCCCCGAGTTGAGTATTGAATGTATACAATTAATTTTCACTATATTGATGACGGTCTTGTACATATTCTTTAAACACAAACCTAACTGCAAGATAAGAAAAGTAATCAAATACGATTTAAAAGCATATGAGCCTCCATCGAATTGAACCGAAGCGCAATAAAGGTAGGATGGTCGAGTGCTTCAAATAGACGGAACACGTCCAACGTTACATCCGACGACGACTCGGAGACGGAGGACGACGAAGGCGGCGCATCAGCGTGGCCGGGGACTAGGAAGTCCCGAACTCATCCTATGGTCATAAGTAAAGAGCATCATGATTAGGGCAGTGAGTTGCGGTACATATCCCAGTCAGCTGTTGAAATTCTGGTACAAAGCGACGAGCTGGCTCGGTAGTAGAAAGTAAGGGCAGCAAGTTGCGTGTTGTAAGTCATTAACCTGTATAAATATGTCCAAGTTTTGCCCCTAATTAAACAACTATTGCTATTAAAAAGTGCGTTAGACGCGTCCTATTGGATTATGTTAGCTGTATTCGGTAGAAAAATACTGAAAATGAAACATTTTTATTGGATTCTCAATTTTCGGAATTCGAAAGGCCGCGTTTCGAAATCTTCGCGTACAAAGTCCATCTTGCAACGGACCACGCACGGATATTGAGGCCAACTTTCAGCGTGCCAATTCTTCGAAGCTGGAATGGAAGCCTCGAGTTACAGAAATGTAATTTTTAGGTCAGGGAAAAAGACAAGAGAGAAGAGGAGAGCCGCTTTCCATTTTACAAGGTGGAAATAAGATGCCAATTACGCACGACAGAAGGAAGACGCAGAGCATCCCCTGCAGAAGAAGACGCAGATCGTCAGATCGTCAAGCCTAAAATAAAGTGTTGAGTGATTAATGTCTTTTACCTGAGAATTTTGCTGACCATATTTATCTGTTGTAAAGCCGGGATCAGGCCACGCCGATTGCTCATCCAAACTCTTGTAAAAAGCGAAAATCCGACCAACTCTGTGGAGTTTGTGAAGATTCTATCTCTAATCTGCAGCAAATAAATTCCCACACCAAGGAAGTGATAACACCCGTGAAACATTAGCATCGTTTTCAGGTATATTAATTGAAATCGTTTTTTCGAATGTTACAAGATATATTGCGTCACTTTTACCTATGCATTAAATTTAGAATTTTTAGCTTATGCACAGGAACATTGCAGTAATTACACCTTTTGTGACTTTCTTTTCATAATTTTAATAATTAAACATAACTTCCAACGCTGTATGAACAGAATTTGTTATACAGCAGCACAGAGAGTCCACCTTGCACTCACTAAGAGAGAGGAGTGGAACTTTGTCCAAATAACGATGCACTTTTCACACTTGTGTGGGTCATCCTGACCCAGTTTTGCCCGGCAAAAAGGAGTTTAAATGTTACATACACTCTGCTGGTGTTGTGAGTAAGAAAATGTGTCATTATTTTGACAATATGATCCATTCCTTTGTTTGAGTGAAGCTCTTCTCTACTCTAAATTTCGCAATATTCATCACTAAACATCATGCATGACAAAGTATCATTCAATATCATCATGCATGACACGGTATCATTATACACTTCATATAAAGTTGGAGATTTGATATCATCGCTACGATGACGACAGGCAAATAGAATGGACACTCAAAAAATCAGTGAGGTTTTCTAAACAGCGATGCAGTTTTAGACATCATGCGGGTCATCCTGAACATGTTTTCTCCGGCAAGAAGGGCGTATCAGTGCTACGCGCACAAAATGTGTCAATATTTGGACAATACGACTCATTCATTTTTTTAGTGTAGTACACAAGGAAATTATATAGACACCGCCGCCCAGACCTCATCAGGAAAGTTGCATAAAAAACAGTTTTTCCTACTCAATCTCCGTAGCAAAAAGGTGCTAAAAACCTACAAATATCGTATATGAGTTCATAAATAACAACAATATCACTTTTCTTGACCGCCCAATTTGATTTCCGGAAGACTGCGGATGCTTAACAATTTTGCGGAAATATAAAATATAATTTTTGAAGGCACACTGGAAAATCAATTGAAAGACAAACCGTTTATATAAATATTATTATTGGTCCAAACTTTACGGCCACATTTGCTCTATTCATTCACTACGATGATTTAATTATGGAACATAATTAATATAGAAAATTGTTACATGATTGTTACACAATGAAAGGCTTGATAAATTTGATTATTAGTGAGCTGGCAGAGAAAAATTTCATTTTGGTTGATATATGTTAATGACCAAGAAATACGTGGTCCTCGGGAGACACGATCCCCTTCCAATTCCCTGTTAGAGTGGGAAACACATTCCCCTCGCACTTATAGAGTGGGATTTCTCATTCGCCGTCATCACCAATAACAGTTTTTGGTGTTTTCAAAGTCAATCTCGCAGCCACTCAGTGACACAGCGTCGTGCAGCCACTCAGTGACACAGCGTCGTGCAGCCACTCAGTGACATAGCGTCGTGCAGCCACTCAGTGACACAGCGTCTCGCAGCCACTCAGTGACACAGCGTCTCGCAGCCACTCAGTGACAGCATCAGTGGCAAGTTATAAATAAATAAAAAATCCCCTAAATAATGTTGATTATCATCGTAAAAGTTTTACATTTCACGGCAAGCTCTACTCTAGTATTTACAACAAAGTTAAATACCTTCAGAAGAAAGAAGGTAAGCAGGCCACTAAACACTAAACATATCGTAATTATTTAATTACTGTTAAGCCACGACCGTTTCATCTGATACAAAGAGTCGGAATAATTAAAACTAACATCACATTGAACAGAACAGCATCCCTCAACCCTCACACTCAAACAAATGAGAGGGACTTTGTTCAAATAGCGATGCACTTTTTAGGGCATTTTCTCATTTATGGAAAAAATGAACTATTGTGCTCGCCATGGCCGTCTGTCTGTCTGTCCGTCCGTCTGTCCGTCTGTCCGTGACCTCAAGTTTTCGTCGACGAGAAAATGTGCTCTCTGTCACTCACTGCAGTGAGTACTGAGTTACATTTTTTTTAAACCTTATGTGGGTCAACTTGACTCAGTTTTGTCCAGCAAAAGGGCGTCTCAGAGCTACACTCATTCTCTGCTCGTACTGTTCGGACAACATGAGCCATTTGTATTTATGAGTGCAGGCAAATACTTCAAGCTAATTCTATTATTCTAGATCACAATGAAGTCTTGATGCGCCCAAAACTAAACTAAGCATCGAGTTCTCGTTTTTCACACTAGATATGCTTTCATGCTGATTATTTTCCTGACTCCACATCAAGGCAATCATTTTATAAATATGATCAATACGTACATTTTCCCATCTTATCAGTCATTCTGGCTCCAAAGTACAACATCTTTGTGACCTCAATATGCCAAGACCAACAACAACAACTTCGTGTTAATAATATTCACCGTTACAATAATAGATAAATAAAACATGTTAAAACCTCGAGCACTGATAAGAAATTCACGTCAAAGCAGGCAATATTATCTGTTATACGATCAAATTTTTACAGCCTTACTTCCGAACTCCACTATGAATAAAATTCAAATAAGTAATATTAAGTAAATTTTTAAGGCTTTCCCCCTCAACGCTTCATAGTGGATATTTCATAGCTCGAACGCATTACAATTGGCATGCAAGCTAATATTCGTGACAGTTGTAAGTAGCAAATCAAATGATATCTTTTTATATTAAATAAAATGGCAACACAAACTAGAGTTCATTCGGAACTTACTACACCAGATTCAATCAGCAAAAGGCTTAGCAATTTGAAGATTATTAGTTTAATCAAAGAGTTTCAAAGTTAAGCATCTCAAATGCTAGCAAGTGAAAATAATGGCAAATACCGATTGACGAGACAAGCAGAGCTCCCTTCGACACGCCATAAATGCAGTCACGTGTCATCGAGTTCTTCTCTTCAGTCCTTCTCTCAAGCCCTCCCCTCATGCTCATATCGAAAGCCCTTCTCTCAAGCTTTTTCTTGGCAGCCTCATTCCCAAATCTTACTTTAAAGCCCTGCTCAAAAGCCATTGTCCCAAAATTACTCTTAAGCCCGTCTCACAAGCTCTTCTTTGCAGCCCTCCTCCTAAATCTTACTCTAAAGCCCTTCTCACAGGCCCTTATCCCGAAACTTACTCTCTAGACCTTCTCTGGAGCCCTCCTCCCTAAATCTTACTCTTAAGCCCTTCTCACAAATTACTCCTATACTACATTAACTAGCGAGACTACAAGCACATACAAAACATATACTCATTTCGTAAGATACAATAACAATTAACAATTATTTCTATGACTGTAAGAAGCGATCATTGCACGCAAATGACATCGTTGAAAGGCTCGTCAAGCCACCACCAGGCGTTTAACGTTGAAATAACGTTGATCTCACGTTCTTTTAACGTTAAAATAACGTTGAATAAACGTTGTTTGACCGTCATTTACATGACGGGTACAAGACACGACTTGCTTTGCACAGCTTCTAGTTAAACTAACTATAGAATTATCGCTACAATTACTAACTTTTGTTTTGCGAAAGGCGATAACGAGTTCATTACGATTGACAGTTGATTACGATTACCATCAATAGAATCGATGGTAACAGATTTACGATCGATTCTACCACAGAACCGCAATGAATGCAAGTTTCTACTCATGAAACATGTTCCTGCACGTTATTATTTACAGGTTGCTGCAAATATGTAAATAAGTTCTAATTCGTCTTCATAATTTGTAAGCGGCACTGAGATTATAACTTTTTAATGTACGAATTTTACTGTCGACGGAAAGTCTGTTGTACTGTTCTACAAAATTCATTGTAATTTGCTTCAAATTTATAGAAGAGAATGGCTTTAATTGCCGCACATAGCATCATAATAACTACATTTTAAAATTGAGACTCAATTTTGTGAAGAGACAATATAGAGATCAGCGAAATTCGAGAGAGAATACTGTCATGTTTTCGGTATCGAGAAGAATATTCAACATTGAGAAAACAGCTTAATCTAAACATTTTTAGCTTAAAACCGACATCGAAATCTAGACAAATTATAATAAAAATTTGATGATTAACGCATTTAGGTCGAGTCAACATTTGGTTCAGTTTCGAATACATTACAGTTTGTTCCATAGCGAATAAATAGTCGCATTTTTGTATAAATTTCGATACCAGAGATAACAATTTGTGATAATCCATGGGACCCGGGAATTATTTTGCAAAAAAAATTTTTATCTGGACATTTTTAATTTAAAATGAGATAGAGAGAACATTTCTGAACAGCAAACACGAGAAATCCTGCTCATCACATCACACAGAAAAATGAGCTAGATTTAGTCCAAAAAGCGATACATTTTCTGCCCATTTACTCTTAATCCTGACTCAGTTTGGCCAGTCACAACGACACATCCAAGTCCTACCTACACAAAGTGCGTCACTATTGGACAATATGGCACATTTATTTTCCTGAGCGTCGCTTAGAAGTTGGCCAAGACGTTAGCGGCGTCGTAGAGCGGAGAGTCCAGAGACGGTTTCTGCTCTCTGCACAACATAGAGTATTTTCAGTCTCTGTATCAATATATAATATTAATACTACTATATTTATTATTGATATCATAATATTGATTGATAATAATTCTAAAATATAAAAAATATAGAACAAATTTTTAATATAGAAAAAATAGGTCCACAATAGCGAATATCTTTAGCCTCTGACCAATGTATAATATTAATACGACATAATTATAATTTATATAATAACATTAATTGGGAATAATGCTAAAACATTAAAAATATCGAAAAAAGTAAAAAATGTTCAATACTGGTATCGAAAAAATAGTGCGAACATCTTTAGCCTCTGCACCAATATATAATATTAATACTATATATTTATAATTAATATATTAAAATTAATGGTGAATTATCCTAAAATATAAAAAATATCGGAAAAAATAAAAGAAAATGTTTAATACCGAAAAAATAGTGCGACAATAACGAATATCTCTAGCTTCTGCACAAATCTATTATATTAATACTATATAATCATAATTTATATCATAACATTAATTGAGAATAATGCTAAAATAAAAAAATATGGAAAAAAATAAAATAAATGCATAATATCGAACAAATAGTATCACAATAGCGAGTATCTTTAGCCTCTGCACAAATATATATTATTAACATCATAAAATTATAATAAATATATCATAACATTATTTGTGAATGATCCTAAAATAGGAAAAATATCAAAGAAAGTAAAAAATGTTTTAGTATCGAAAAAATAGGACCACAATAGCGAATATCTTTAGCCTCTAACCAATATATAATATTAATACTGTACATTCATAATTAATATAATAACATTAAGCTAGAATAACGCTAAAATATAAAAAAATAACAAAATGTTTAATATGGAAAAAATAGTGAAAACTCACGAAGAAGATGAGTGGTCCATGGCTGAAGGTACAGACGAAGGCGCAGAAGGAGAGCCCAGGGGCACGGGGGTGTTGGGGTAGCTGCTGCTGCTGCCCTCCAGCCCGGGCTTAGGCCAACTGAAATGCCCATTCACAGTCACACGCAGAAAAATAGAGGGGTTGTCTGAATACTGACCCGCTTTATTATTTACCCATCAGAAAAATGGATCCATGGTTTATCCAAATACTGACTCACTTTTTTACCTAGCACTAGAATTTCTTACCTGCCCCTAGCAAGAACAGAGAGCGGACATAATGCTAAAATATCAGTAGCACTGATACGCCTATCCTAGCAAGAACAGAGATAGGACGTAGCACTGATACGCCTTTAAACCGAGTCAGGATGACCCATACAAGAGCAACACGTGTATCATCATTAGGACAATATCTCGCTATTTTTTCTGAGCCCAAGAAACAAGTATTGGATATTTCGAAGAAGTTACTATAACCAGATTTCGGGAGTAATGCAGCTACGAGTACTAAAAATAATATACCAAAGCCGTTTTCGGGGACTTTGTAGCTAAAATTTGAAAATAGAACGAGGCAGGTAGAAGAACTCTAAAATTTTACTATAAAATATCAAAACGACTAAGAACAACCCAGACATAAAGACCACTCACCCCACTCTAAAATTTACGATAAAATATCTAAAGGAAGAAGAACAACCCAGCCATAAAGACCACTCACCCCACTCTAAAATTTACAATAAAATATCTAAAGGAAGAAGAACAACCCAGCCATAAAGACCACTCACCCCACTCTAATATTTACAATAAAATATCTAAACGGTGAAGAACAGCCCATAAAGACCACTCACCCGAGCACATGCGTGACGACTCCTGAAGGTATATAAGCACCAGGCACGGGGGGCAGCTCCGTGACGGGCGTATAGTACTTGGAGAAGGCGTGGTCCTTGGGCGTGTTGGGGTAGAGCGTCGTCAGGCGTCGCAGGTCAGAGATGCGGTCTGCCAGGGGGCGGATACCGAAGTCCTTACTTGTGAACGGCTGCAGCATAAACACTTCTCGGCTCTCTGGGGGCGAGGAGTTAAGGGGGTTGTAATTATATGTACTGTATATCTATTGTACTTGTATATGTTGTACTTATCTATATACCTAGTAAATATCTACATTGTACTTATTCACATTGTACTTATCTATAGTGTACTTATCTATATTGTACTTATCTATATAGTAATTATCTACATTGTACTTATCTATATTGTACTGATCTAACAAACGAGACGTAAGTCAGATAGTAAGAATGTTGAAAAACGTATCTAAGGCACAAGACGTAAGTTGAAAAAGGTATGGATGTTGTAAAAGTTATCATGAGCAAGAAAAATAAGTAGGAAGCTCGGTTAAAGTCATCGGTAGAAATTGGACAACTAAAATATATGTAAATTTTCTCCAGCTTGACGATGCCGCTTATAATAATTTCGACTCAATGAAAAACAATTCATTATTGCGGCACGAAAGCATAAGCATTTTCACACGCCATCCTGACATTTCCCCCATTGGCTCTTCAAGAAATTTCTACATGCCGGGGCTGCAAGAGTTTGTCATTGAATACATAACATATTTCAACGCAAGGTAGACGTGGCTTGTCATCAAGTTGATTCGTTTATATATAATGGACGATTCGACAATCAATAATAGTAAGCATAAAAATCAATAATACGTTGTAAGATGATGGTGAGATACGGACATTGAGAAACATGAAAGTGAAAACAATTAATAAAATATTGAATTAATATGTAATGGAATGCATTAAGAAATGCAATTAAGGAGAAATTAAATCAAGAAGCCAAAAAATTAAGAAGACATGCATTAATAACTATAAAAAACACGAATTTTGGCCAAATTACGAAAACAAGCAATTATCTAATTAATAAAACATGGAATTAGGACAGAGTAATAATCTTACATACAACACATAAAGAAAGCACCGCACCTGCAGTTGTGTCATCAGAGATAAAAAACGCGAATTTCGGACCGATTACGAAGACTATTAAGACAATGAATAAATGACAATAATAACGAAGACATGCAATTGTCTTATTAATTAAGCATGCAATTAAGACAGATAAATAATATAACATACAACACATAAAGAAAGCACCGCACCTGCAGTTGTGTCATCAGAGATAAAAAAAAAACACGAATTTCGGCCCAATAACGAAAACAAGCAATTGTCTAATTCTCCAATTAATAAAGCATGCAATTAAAAAGACAGACAAATAATATCACATTTAAAACATAAAGCAAGCCCCGCACCTGCATTAACGTCATCAGAGGTAAAAAAAAACGCGAAAAAATTTCGGACCAATCACGAAGACTATTAAGACAATGAATAATAGACTGTGCAATTAATTAATGCAATGATTAATGCATGCAATTAAGACAGATAATTAAATTACATTTAATACGTAAAGGAAGCAGCGCACCAGCATTAACGTCATCAGAGGACCAGGCGATGGTGACGCCCCCGAGCTCAGAGTCAGAGAAGCGCAAGAGGAACGTGGCGGGGGGCGACGCGCTCAGCAGCTCCTCGGCCTGACGCCGCCCTACGAACCCCAGGATGCTGCCGTCTACCCACAACTGACGCAGGTGTTCCCGTGTCACCTGCGCAACACCGGGGTGATAGTTGTGGGTGATATTTAGTACTACTTCGCGGCGTAGTCGTGGGCAATACTTAGAAGGTACTACTTCGCGACATAGTCGTGGGTACTATACTTCGCGACATAGTCGTGGGTACTACTTAGTAGGTACTATTTCGCGGCATAGTCGTGGGTACTACTTAGTAGGTACAACATCGCGGCATAGTCGTGGGTAGTATTTAGAACTACTGTGCGGCAATGACGTGAGTAATACTTAGTAATACATTCCGGCAGGTCATGGGTACTACTTAGTACTACTTCGTGGTAGGTGCTAGTCTAGTAAATAATACTACATTACGAACAGTTCGTATTAAAAACTATATGATATTTTTGAACGCTGGCGCCGATTCCTTTAGACATCATTTTGCGAAGTTCAAACGAGATGGCGCTATAGTACTGCAATTGATGGCACAAATACATTATGGAATAAAGCGAAAATATTATACAAAACATAAGAATTAACGAAGAATAGTAAAATTTCACTCTTTCACTCTAATAATATGTTCACGCATGCAATGAATTCAATAGAACCTTATTTCAAAGTTTTTTAGAAATATTGAGACCCAATAAGAGGTTCAATTTCAAATGAATATCAGAAATAATGAATATGTTAGTGGATAACGACTCATTTATATTACTGAATAGTGACTCATTTACCCATTTCAGTGGATAATGACTCAGTTAATTTCAGAGGATAATGAGTGATACAAGTCAGGAGCTGACCTTCATGACCTGAAAGAACCACTCCCAGAAGGTGAAGCTTCTCTCCAGCAGCGGCTCCTTGCAGAACTGCGACCATGACAAATACTGGCTGGAGTAGTCGGAGCACATGGAGTTTGTCCTTAGTGAGAACAAGGCAGGGTAATACATTATAGTTCGTACTTAGTGAGAACAAGGCAGGGTAATACATTATAGTTCGTACTTAGTGAGAACAAGGCAGGGTAATACATTATAGTTCGTACTTAGTGAGAACAAGGCAGGGTAATACATTATAGTTCGTACTTAGTGAGAACAAGGCAGGGTAATACATTATAGTTCGTTCTTAGTGAGAACAAGGCAGGGTAATACATTATACTTCGTTCTTAGTGAGAACAAGGCAGGGTAATATATAATAGTTCGTCCTTAGTAAAAAGAAGGGAGGTTGCTTCATGAAATATTTCGAATAAATATATATTGTCAAAGAAATTCAAAGGTTTTCGCATGAGTGATGAAAACCTATTATTTTTTGCCAATACATTTCTTTAGATTGAAGATAAATATTTAAAGTAGATTGAAACAATCTAGACTTCTAAACGAAAAAATAAACAGGCGAGATTTAAGCGAGTTTATCTACCCTCGAAGCAGCTAATCAGCAATCTGGTGATAGCTTTAATTTCTATCTGTTGAAGCTTCTTCGTATTTCTATTTTTCTCTCTATCTCAATTACAATACAAAATCAGCCATCGAAATTCATAGCCGCCTTCCATCGATTTTTAATCTTAGTGACTCACTTCAATAATAGAGAAGTAAATGTTGTCTGTAAATGTAAATATAAAAAAATCTAACCGCAATAATTTCTGCCAACAACGTGGCGCTACGATGGAACAGGAAGCGCGTGTCTGGTCTCAAAACGGGGATGAAAGAGCGTGATATTTGGCACAGAAACCTCTGCCCGCAAACAGCGAAAGAGACGAAAAATTTTCCAACGAAAATCTCTTCGCGCAAAAGGAGAAAGGGACGAAAAAATTGGTCAACTAAAATCACTACACGAAAAAAGCAAAAGAAAAGAAAAAATACCGAACCAAAATATCCGTGCGTTAAAATAAAGACTTGGAAAACAAAGGCAGCGTCTCACCTGAGGGCTTTGGACGCAAGGAAGTTGATGTTATCAGGCGTGAGGCCGCGACCTGTTGCATGCTTGAATTTGGTGTCTAACATGTCAGCCACCGCCGGCCACGGTACCTGGTATAAAATATAGTAATATTATTATCATAATACTGTCAGCACTGAAGAATAGGCCAAGCTTGACATGCCGCTGATTCTTGTAATTTTCGTGACTTGTTTACAGGAGATCTAAAAACTGGTCTTCTAACCAGATCTTTTCATAACTGACGTTGCATTGTATAGCTACTGGACTTTAGTTATGTTCATGGTGTGATAGGCATTTCAGGTCTGGACATATGTATAAGTAAGTCTGCATATCTTTGTCTAGTATGTTCTTGAACGCCTTTATACTTGGAGTGTCAGCGATGCTGGTATACTAGTGTTAACCTCAACACGTTGACTCCAATTGCTTCATCTTGTATGCTTCATCTTCCAATTTCTTGGTCTTCATCAAACAGGGTTGCCAGACGGTCATTTTTTTCGGACAAATTCCGTGATTTACTTTTTCTCAATTGCGTTGGCCAGCTAAAATTTATAATATGGGTACTTCCTAATTGAATTTTCAATACTGCAAAAAGAAAATAAATGGAATTTATTTTCATTGCGGAACATACAAATAAACTAGTATATATTGAGTTATCGGCCTTTTTTGGCCTCTGATTTGGCCGATTTTAGGCAACCTGAATTATGACCACTACGTCCTGGAGAAATACATTTCGTTGTTGTTGTTTATTGTTTCGTGGTACGTATATGTACCACTTCGGAGTCAACGTGTTAAAACAATAAACAACGTTAACCTTAGCAATAAAAATACTTCATTCATTAGTAAGCTACATGAATTGAAAGAATATGAACTGAGAAGAGCAGTTCGGACAAAAAAAAAATGTTTTATAAACATCTTGGTAGTTCGCTATGCACAACGAAATGTAAAAAACATAATATACAAGCTCGCAAACATAAGGTCATGTAGCAAATTCCAACTTTTTTTGAAAGTCCATAATTAAATTAGAAAGAAGCCGGTAACTTGTGACAGTTTGATAAGGGAGATCCGGGACATGGAAGGCGTTAAGGACGCACCTTATCAGGGACATGGAAGGCGTTAAGGACGCACCTCAGCATCAGTCAGCATCAGTCAGCATCAGCTAGTCAGCATCAGTCAGCATCAGTCAGCATCAGTCAGCATCAGTCAGCATCAGCTAGTCAGCATCAGTCAGCATCAGTCAGCATCAGCTAGTCAGCATCAGTCAGCATCAGCTAGTCAGCATCAGTCAGCATCAGTCAGCGTCAGTCAGCATAATGACTAGAAAAGCACAAAAAACACACTCCACTAATCGTCTTTACTCTACTAAAGTAATTAAGCATCTAGTAAATCAAACGCAACTAGCAATGTTTTTGAGATTCGCACCTTGCTCAGGATGTGGGCAATAAAATGTGTCACTTTTAGGACAACGACCCAGTCATTATTTGAGTGTGCTGTCGAATGCCTCATCTCCATTGTGAACGAGGAACATCGTTCACTAATTTATTCAATGTGCATTTTCTTGTGACGAAATTATTCTATTACGTCTGGCAAAGCCGCGCCAGTGACATGCGAGTCAGACCTATAGCAGTTGGAACTGTCTAGTACTAGGTCAGGTCTGAGCGCCTGTGCGTCAGGTAGTCAGTCGTGTCCCGCCAGTCCTACAGTGAGGTTCATACCTGAACCCGCTCAGCTCTGTTAACTCTGCATTCTGTGCTTTAGCGCTAGAGTCGTGGCTGTGCCGTGAGGACTTAGTCTAACCTGCTTTCGTTCGCCTACGTGAAGTAATTTAACCTTAACTACGTGCATTAATGCTGTGCAATAGTGAATTGAACCAATTTGAACGTCTCTTAGAATAGTTATTTTAGTCGGAATTTATGCTTTCTCTTTACCATGTTTTACTGATTTTAAAGAAAGTGATTCAATAAACTATTTTAAAGTGTGCTTTGTCGTGATTATATACCACAGCCTTTGAACCGGCTTTAACTGACGATGACTAGGAGAGTTGAACGGCATTATAGGTTAGATGAATGAGCACAGTTGCCTGAAATTTATTCATATTGTCCTGGCCTATGAGCGGTGAGCATTCGATCCTGAGAGTGAATTACAAGCCTGACGTTCAGATGGAATTATAGTAGCTCTGGCCGGTGACACCATTATTGAACAAAAATATAACTCAGTACTACTCACTGCAGTGAGTGACAGATAGCGCACTTTCTCGTCGACGAAAACGTGAAGTCACGGACAGACGGACGGACATGACGAGCACAATAGCGCCTTTTTTTCCATAAATGATAAAATGCGCTAAAAAGAGATAAAGAATGCACCTGGAAGCCGAGTTCGCCGCCGCCCACACTGAAGGTGGACTGGAACAGCAGCGCGAACTTCTCGTCCATGACAGACTCCGTTCCTTTCTTCTCGGCGCGCTTGATCTTCCGCAGCTGCAGGTTGCGGAAGTTTACCGAGAGCTGCCGAGTGCTCTGAGGTAAACAACGGGCACATGTGTTAAATATTGCAGTTTATATACTGGTACCATCAGAGTCTAGCTATGTATATGATATAATACAATATAGAATAATATAACATAATATGATATAATATAATATGATATAAAATAATATAATACAATGTGATATAATATAATAAAGATACAAATAATGATTGAAAATCGTTATCATCTACTAAACAAGTAGCAATAACTGTTCTAGATACCGTAGTAGCAGTAATTTTTCACAAATTTATTATATATTAAATTATTATTTATTTTATATTAAATTTTCGTTTTCGTAGTAGGTAATTATATTTGATAATAATAATGGATGAGTTACCTGTACATATTCCATAGTGCCTGTGTTATTGAGTATCTCGCCGCTCTGGTGGCGCTTAGCTTCGTTCTTGAGTAAACTGTTGGCCTGCGCCTCGCTTACGATAGACACCGTCACCTGCGGGTCAGGTCACAAGAGGTTAGGCCATAAGAGATCAGCAGGTCACACGAGGTCAGGCCATAAGAGGTCAGCAGGTCACACGAGGTCAGGAAGTCACAAGAGGTCAGCGGGTCACACGAGGTCAGGCCAGGTCACGAGAGGTCAGCAGGTCACAAGAGGTTAGGCCATAAGAGGTCAGCAGGTCACACGAGGTCAGGAAGTCACAAGAGGTCAGCGGGTCACACGAGGTCAGGCCAGGTCACGAGAGGTCAGCAGGTCACAAGAGGTTAGGCCATAAGAGGTCAGCAGGTCACACGAGGTCAGGAAGTCACAAGAGGTCAGCGGGTCACACGAGGTCAGGCCAGGTCACGAGAGGTCAGCAGGTCACAAGAGGTCAGCAGGTCACACGAGGTCAGGAGATCACAAGAGGTCAGCGGGTCACACGAGGTCAGGAGGTCACAAGAGGTCAGCAGGTCACAAGAGGTCAGGAGGTCACAAGAGTTCAGCAGGTCACAAGAGGTCAGGAGGTCACAAGAGGCCAGGAGGTCACAAGAGGTCAGGAGGACACAAGAGGTCAGGAGGACACAAGAGGTCAGCAGGTCACACGAGGTCAGCAGGTCACAAGAGATCACAAGGTCACAAGAGGTCAGGAGGTCACAAGAGACCAGGAGGTCACAAGAGGTCAGGAGGTCACAAGAGATCACGAGGTCACAAGAGGTCAGCAGGTCACACGAGGTCAGCAGGTCACAAGAGATCACAAGGTCACAAGAGATCAGGAGGTCACAAGAGACCAGGAGGTCACAAGAGGTCAGGAGGTCACAAGAGANACATGTACTTAGGCCGCTACATGTACTTAGGCCGCTACATGTACTTAGGCCGCTACATATACTTAGGCCGCTGCATGTACTTAGGCCGCTACATGTACTTAGGCCGCTACATGTACTTAGACCGCTACATGTAACTCGGCGGGTTTTGATAGTACGGCATCTGACAAAAACGATCTCATTCTACGAGTTGCTTGCATCGAAAACGAAAATTTGGTATAAAGGGAGAATCATTGTTAATCCCATCACATATGACGTGGTAATTAGGCCGTCACGTCAGCACGTCACCACGTCACTACACACCTGGGGCGGTGTCATGTGCACGTTGAGTTTGCCGCCCACCAGCAGGCGGACGGTGGCCGTGAAGCGCGTGTTGGTCTTCATCACTTGGGGCGGCTCCTTCTCGATGATGAACGTGCTGGTCAACACCATAAAATAATTGATAAATAATTTTGCGGTGAAGTACGTATATTGAATGACTAAGTGAGACCAAATTAATTACAGAAAGATAATCCCTAAGTAAATTATTCCCGAAGATAATCCCTTAGATAATCCTTAAGTAAAAGTTATTATTTTATCAAAATTTTGTTATACTAAAGTTCATTATTAAAGTGTTACAGCCCGACGAAAAAGGTTAGTCCCACCACTTTAAAACATCATAACACATCAAGTTTTGCGAGTTTTATTGTGCAAATGGTGGCAAACGAACCGTCTTGGTCTCAGTAATCAAAATACAATAGACTGTAGTGAAAATGTAATTAGTAACGGAGAAAATGAAAAACACTTGTTTTTGCACCGACGCAAAAGGTTAGCCCCACTTTGTACACTTTGCCATTTTAGGCAAACAAAACATACGTCAGCTGCAAAACTAAAGGTTATTTACCGATATGCTCCCCGTTGGCTTTGTAGACATCCAAGCACCGCTTTTTCATGCCCTGAGACAATCTACGGAGGTAGTTGGGGTCCAGATTGGACCAGGCGGCTTGAATTGCCAACTCGAGTTCTTCCTTCGTGTCATAACCCGGATTTTGGCACGCTTGAAGAAGGTCTTGGTCGTGCGCGCTGTATGGATTGAGGCATTATCTTGTTGGAAGATGGCGCCGCAGCGCATGTGGTGGCGGATGACGGGAAGTAGATGGTCCTCGAGCGTTTGGACATAGTCGTCCGCGCACTGGTTGCCTTCGAGGAAGACAAGCTCGCTCGTCCCGTTTGCATGAAAGGCCCCCCGCACCATTACACTGCCCCCGCCATTTTGGCGGCAAAAAGCTGCCTTTGGATCATTCCTGCGGCTATGCCAGTAGTACTTCAGACCATCTAGGCCATCCAAATTCCATTTCTTCTCATCATAGAAGATGGTTTTGGCCCAGGTGTCATCACTAGTACTTGCATACTTTGTGCCCCAGGCGACCCTGGCATGCTTGTGAGCATCGGTCAATTGGAGGGCCTTGTTCATCTTCACGTATTGGAAGATGCCGGGGGACGCGAGGGTGCGAGAGACGGTGGACTTGGAGACATTGAGCTCCAACTTTTGGACTAGTTTGGGCGCGCTCAAGTCGCCGGGCGTCGCAACTCGGAAGAGGCGACGCGTGTCACGGGCCGACATCTTCTTGGGGCGGCCTTTGGTGTGCCGCTTTCCGTAGTTCACGGGGTCCTTGAGATAGTTGGAGATGGCTTTGCGGCTACACCACACTTGTGCCTCCATTTGACGCAGGCTAGGACCTGTCTCTTATACACATCTAGATGTGTATAAGAGACAGNGGTGACGAGAGAAGACAGTTGTCTGGTGATGGTCTGGTCTAGTACAGACCTGGTGACGAGAGAAGACAGTTGTCTGGTGATGGTCTGGTCTAGTACAGACCTGGTGACGAGAGAAGACAGTTGTCTGGTGATGGTCTGGTCTAGTACAGACCTGGTGACGAGAGAAGACAGTTGTCTGGTGATGGTCTGGTCTAGTACAGACCTGGTGACGAGAGAAGACAGTTGTCTGGTGATGGTCTGGTCTAGTACAGACCTGGTGACGAGAGAAGACAGTTGTCTGGTGATGGTCTGGTCTAGTACAGACCTGGTGACGAGAGAAGACAGTTGTCTGGTGATGGTCTGGTCTAGTACAGACCTGGTGACGAGAGAAGACAGTTGTCTGGTGATGGTCTGGTCTAGTACAGACCTGGTGACGAGAGAAGACAGTTGTCTGGTGATGGTCTGGTCTAGTACAGACCTGGTGACGAGAGAAGACAGTTGTCTGGTGATGGTCTGGTTCAGTGCAGGCAACATGTCGACGCCCCCGGGCGGCTGTAGGGGCAGTTTGCTGCACTGGCGCTCGCACTCCTTCACCTGGTGGCGGTTCTGCCAGATGATGTCGGCCAGCTGCTCGCACCTGGTCACATACAGGGTATAAATTATCTATTATTTTTACTATTACTAATGGCTTCTTAACGTATGGATGAAGAATATATTTAAGCTGCTCGCACCTGATCACATACACGCCATTAATAATCTGTTAATTCTTCCTATTAATAATGGTATTTTAACGTATCGTTGTAGAAAATATTTAAGCTGTTTGCATCTGGCTACATACACGGTATAAGTTATCTATTATTTTTACTATTTTTAATGGTATCTCAACGTATCTATGTAGAAAATATCGACGAGAACGATGATGTAAATAATAAGAACATTGATATAAAGCATATACTTAATTAATTCTAATTAATTGAGATAATTAATAAATAATATAAGAATAAGTGTTATAATTAATAAATAAATATCTCACTACGCACGGAGCCGGCAACTTTTTCCATATAAATCGTTTAACGCCTAGGCCTACCCTAGTTGCTATAGAATAGAAGTGTCGGCACTGAAGAAATAGACCCATGGCCTGTTGCCGATTCTTGAATTTTTCGTGACTTTATTCGCAAGGGATCCGGCCTTTGGAACCCAATCTTTCCATAGCTGACGATTGATTGAGATAGCTGCTGGACTTATTGCCTGGTCCGTAATTTACTAGGCATTTCAAGCCTGAACATATGCTCCTGCATAGCTTCGTCTAGTCTGTTCTTGAAGATGTTCATACGCGGAGCGTCAACGATGCTATCAGGGAGGCTGTTCCACATGTCGGTGACTCGAAGCGAGTAAAAGTTTAGAGTGCACTGTTCAATATTTCTATACTCGGCCTAAAGTTATTCTGGGTTTGCTCGGCCACCCAAACGCAATCAGCTTTTAGCTAAAATCTTATTTCTGACTTCATAATGACGGGAGAGCATGACAGGCTTTACTTCTAGCCCAGCCATAGCAGCTAACCACATTAGCAGCTAATTTACTGTGCACCTCCAGCGGCGCCTGTTGCAGACTCAGGCCAGCATCTAAATTTTGTTAGCGGCACCACTCGCGAAGACTGCTACTCACATCACTCCTCCACCACTCACCATTCCTGTATACGGTTGAGTTTGCCCTCATTGAAGGGCCTTCCGTTGCCCGCCATCTGCTGCTCCCTCTTCCAGGCCACTCACAACTCCTCTACCACTCACCACTCCTGGACCACTCACCACTCACCACTCCTCCATTTACTCACCACACTCCTCTACCACTCACCACTCCTGTATACGGTTGAGTTTGGCCTCATTAAAGGGCCTGCCGTTGCCCGCCATCTGCTGCTCCCTCTTCCAGGCCGTGAGCTCCTGGTCCAGCACGCGGTGCTGCGCAGCGATGATCTTGTCCAGCGTCTGCTGCAGCTTCTCCACCAGCGCCAGCCTCCGCTGCACCATGCCTGACACCTGCCCGGGGGGTGTGGGGTGAGTGGTGATGAGTGGGGGGCCACTCACTCCCGCACAACCTGGATCAAGAAGGTCCAGTCAACTAACCTGCTGCAGAGAAATCCAACTAAATTTTGGTCGCTCCTACGCTCCCTCTCCGGCAAGTCAACCAGACAAGCCCCTAACCAACCCATTTCCTTCAATAATTCCCATGTCACCGCAGACCATATCATAGCCTCGTCCTACTGCCGCCGATTTACGCTGGTTCCCCACCACCAACGTGACCTCTCCTGCAGGTCCACCTACAGAGGCATCAAGCGCTGCAATCCTCTCTCCGACACACCCCCCGCGTTCACTCCGGATCAAACAAGACAGGCAGTTTGGAGCTCGGGTACCTCCACTGCCACTGGCCCGGACTCCCTCACCATCCTCCACCTCCGTCACCTGGGTCCCAGAGGCGTCCAGTACCTCACTGAACTTTTCAACCTGTCCCTTGCCAAGGCCGACATCCCTGCCATCTGGAAGTCAGCCACAATCATTGCCATTCCAAAGCCGGGCAAACCTCCGTCCATAAGCTCCTCATACCGACCCATTTCCCTCCTGTGCCCGTCTGTAAAGGTGTTGAAAAGTCTGCTCCTCCCCTCCCCCAATGGCGCGCCGTCACTGGTGAACGCTCGGCACGGTTCCGCTCCCTCTACTCCACAACATCTGCCCTACTTCCTCTAACCCAGGTCGTAGCTACAAGTTTCAACCAGCCTCACCCACTAACCAGGACAAAAGCGATGGCCATTGACTTCAGCAAGGCTTTCGACACCGTGCCCCATGCTCAGCTCATCTCTCACATCGCCTCCACTCCCCTCCACGCCAATATCACCCGCTGGCTGATCTGCTACATCAGAGGCAGGACAGCCAGGTGTTCCTACAACAGCTGCATCTCCTCCCCACGCCCGGTCCTCGCTGGTATTTAACAAGGCTCCGTCATCTCGCCCGTCCTTTTCAACTCCTATGTGTCAGACTTCCCCCAGTCCGCTCCTCTAATCACCTCCTATGCGGACGACTTCACTGCCGCTGCGGGGGCCGTGCAGATCGCCGACGCGTCTGCAGTCCTCTCCTCCCACTCCTCCGATGTGGCGGCATGGGCTCGTCGTCTATCCTAAAATCCCACACTACCCTTTTCACCTCCGACACCCATCAATCACAAACAGACCCTCATGCCAGCTGGGAGGGGTCTGACCTTCCACTCTGTCGGACCTCGGGGTCACTTTTGATCCCATTTCACCTTCTCGTGTCACATCGCTCCAATATGTCAGAGCGCCTGCCCGCGCCTCCACATCCTCAAATCTCTTGCCGGAACCAGCTGGGGTCAGCGGAAGGAAACCCTCTTGGTGACTTTCAAGGCCCTCATTAAGTCTCTCATCACCTACGCTGCGCCAGCGTGGTTCCCTAACGCCTCTCTTTGGGCAATCTCTAAGCTGCAAACTATTCAGAACTCAGCCCTCCGCATAGCCACGGGATCTTTTCTAATGGCCTCCGCTTCCCACCTGCACAGCGAAGCTGAGGTCCTACTTAGGGCCGAACACCTCTCTCCCCTCTGCTCACTGTACCTTGCCAGCGCCCAACGACCACACCAGCCCAGCTATCCTATCGTCACCCAGACATCGGGGCCCCGTCCCATGAAACATACGCTTCAGACCCGCTTCCTCCCTCCGGTCTCTCACCTGCTAGAAGGGGGTCCCTCTCCCGACTCCTACTCCGTCGGCACCCTACACAGCTCCGCTGTCTCATCCTACCTGGCCTCAGCAGCTCCCAACAAGGCGCTGCTGACCCCTGCCCCCACTGTCTCATCCGGCGAGCTATCCCTTCCCAGGGCCGCCAGAAGCGCCCTTTCCCAGCTCCGCTCTGGCTACTCACCGAGCAGACCTCTACTCACCTCTGGCTCCAATCCTCCGGCTTTCCCAGCTCAACTCATACCTTGCCCGCATCGGAGCAGCCAATAGCCCTCTCTGCCCTGAGTGCGGCACTATGGACCACACCACCCATCACCTCTTCAGCTGCCCATCGCACCCCACCTCGCTGATTCCACTTGACCTCTGGTCTAACCCTGGACCGACTGTAGCCTTCCTCTCTCCGCTCCCATCCTTCTCCGACATGGCGACATCCTTGGAGTGGAACCTTCGCTCCCCCCCCTCCTCCCCCGAAGCCGCCGCCTCTGCGGGGGCGCCGCCGAGCAGCGGTCCAGGGCAACTAACAACAACAAGGGTAATAAGCTGCATCATTGCACCATGGAACTTACCTCCTGTTCGCCCATATGTTTCTTCTGACCACGCAATGACAAACGGTCCATGACCCACGAGTATCAATATGGACAATGTCCCCCTTAATTTTCTGCGTGTTCTCCTACCTTGACACTGAGCTCCTGCTCGCCCATCTGCTTCTTCTTCTCCATGGAGATGATCATCTCCTGGAGCTGCGGCGTGATGGGCTGGGCGGTGAGGTGCGACAGCTGCGCGTTCGTTTTGGTGCAGTCGTGGTAGCTGATGAAGAAACTCTCCTGCTCCTGCTCCAGGAACCTGCAACCAGCATAATTAATGCTCCAGCAACCTGCAACCAGCATAATTAATACTCCAGGAACCTGCAACCAGCATAATTAATGCTCCAGCAACCTGCATCATCATAATTAATGCTCCAGGAACCTGCAACCATAATTTTTATAGGTGATAATAAGTGAAAATTATCACTCATAATTGTTACTGATAATTACCGCTCCGAGTGTAGCGACTATTCGGCCGAAGTCAATGCGGTCCCTAAATTTTGATGGGGTAAGCGGGACCCGAATTTATAGTTGGCATCATTAGCACCTGGGGCCGTACTTTCAAATCTCGCTAAGTGAACGTAAGTACTACGCTCTATTTTTTTGACCATGATTGGTGGATTTTGCTTGAGAGGCCGTCAATGATTGGCTGATGAACTTACGATCACTTAACGTTTTTTGAAAGTATAGGCCCTGACCATCACCTGAGATCGTTAGCAGAGTCAGCGGTGCGCTCAGCGAGAGCGGCCAGCTGGTCCATTATGTCCGCCGTGACCATCTCACCACCACCACCGCCACCGCCGCCCAGGTGGTGGTGACCGCCAGGTGGACACCCGACGTCACCGCCGCCAACCCTAGCGCCCGCCATCATCTGCAGCGGAGCAGGATTATAAGCACATTTCCCGACAAATTTTCAATTTTTTTATACATCTACTCAAACAAGGGAGCTGCAGGTAAACACATTAGTTTAAATACAGTATATTACGTTATCATTACGTTTTTCAAATTCAAGGTAGGTAATATGAAAATAAATCGTGATGTGATGTCAATATAAGTCAAAACTTCACATCACGATTTCTTATACAAGTAGAAATAAAATAATGTTGCAGGGTACCGTATTTTACAACGTGGCTTTTCAGACCTCAGCTCAGGCTATTAAACATACGAAGATTTTTGCTGTTCTCATAACTGCGGCTGAATAATGAGACTTATATCGACAAGCTGAACTTCATTCTCATGTTTTTTACCTTCAACCGACACAATTAAAGTCCATTTTTTCATCATCGAAAACCACGAAATTTAGAGCGGCATTAATTTGGTAAAACGAATTCGAAAAAACGCTTAAAACGCATTCGGAAAAAACGCTCAAAGCACGGTCGGTAAAACGCTTGGTATTATACAGAGTAAGAAACAAGGATATCGACTATACCAAACTGCAATCTTTTCGCACAGCCAGGCAGCGTTTCAGGGTATCCGGGAATTTTCTGCACTATAGTTAATGACACTAAAGTCGCCACAGCACCAATGTCGCCAGCCGTTAATTGAAACAATTTTTCTGCAAACAAAATTGAACCACCACTATCTAGCGATATCGAAACTGCTTCGTAGTCATTAGATAGTAATCGAACGCTAAAAATGAGAATCATTAAATATCCGACTAGGGCACAAAGTTCTAAGAGTAATTAAATATCCGACTAGGGCACAAAGTTCTAAGAGTAATTAAATATCCGACTGGGGCACAAAGTTCTAAGAGTATACTAGGGCACAAAGTTCTAAGAGTAATTAAATATCCGACTAGGGCACAAAGTTCTCAGAGTAATTAAATACCCGACTAGGGCACAAAGTTCTAAGAGTAATTAAATACCCGACTAGGGCACAAAGTTCTCAGAGTAATTAAATACCCGACTAGGGCACACATTTCTAAGAGTAATTAAATACCCGACTAGGGCACACATTTCTAAGAGTAATTAAATACCCAACTAGGGCACAAAGTTCTAAGAGCAAGACAGTGCTCGCTAGAACGCACAGCACTCCACAAGACAAAGAAGACGTACGAGCCTCGCAAGCAAGCAGAGGAGACCGGATGAACAGACATTCTCGTAGCTGATAACGCGTTACAGTTTCATGTGAAAATTCGACAGTCTTATCACATTCACAGAAATAAGTGAGACTTTTTCCAAATGGCTTTGGATGTTTTTCATTTGTGTGCGTCTTCATGACCCAGTTTGAAGCGGTAACAGAGATACGTCAGCTCTCTGCTAGTGCTCATGGTTGGAAAGTGTGTCAAAATTTGAACAATATGAACCATTAATATCTGCGTGGGATATAAGACGCGCTTTCGAGAGAAAAATTTTATACCAGATTCTATATATCATCCCTCGGAATGTCGTTAATCTTCCAAAAAATTTTTTTTGGACGAAGTAATTTGGATTTGAATGTTCATAGCATTTCATTTTGGTTCTTAACTAGTTCATTTTCCGACGATATTAATTCGCATTTATTTCATTTATCAAAGTCATGTCATACAAAAAAATACTCTAGGCCCCAAATTCTATATTCTAAATAACTGAAATAATTCAAGCTTTCTCCATTTGATTATTATGCAATTAACGGAGAAAAACTATATTTCTATTTGATCCGCAGCCAGTAAGGCGAATAAACTAATTAATTAGTCTCACCTTCAGATTATAACCAAGCTATCCAGTAGTCAAAATATCAACTGATCATAGAAGCTTCAAGGCATCAATATATTTCAAAAGTTACGTGAATGTTCACTAAAGAATCTGAAAATATTTCGAACGAATAACATGAAAAAAAATTCATGTTTCATTTAGTTATTAAAAATAAAAATAAAATCTCAAAGTGCACACTGAGAAAAAATGATGATCCTTCGTCCAAATACAGATACACTTTCCGGCCCTTTGTGGTTCATCTCATTAAAAGAGGGAATCAGAGCTACGAGCAGAATGTATGTCACTATTTGCACAATTTGATCCGTTCACTTTTATGAGAGCGCCAAGACAACAGCAGAAGGCGCCGAGAACGGAAGCCTGCATGCATCACTGTAACGTCACGTTAGCAGCTTGAACTGAACACGTTTTATGTCAACATTAACATAATAAACAAACTACAGTGTTCAACAATATTAGCTTAATTTACAGATATTTAATTTAACTGCGAAGCTATAACTACATTTCGTTAACGCTTTTGTGAGCTTAGCGGTATAGGTAAGCGCGGTATTTTTACATAAATATATCGCTAATTACATGTCTTTCACTGCTTACTTTCGTAAACTTGTACAATACTTCTTTTTTGTAACAAAACAAGGCCGAGAATTTTAAGGATCGAACACACGTGCAATCAATATATAAAGCCGAATTTCCACAATTAAGGTCAGTAATAACTAACTAGTTTTGCACGATTCACTAGCTGTATAATCTTTCTGATGATTTCGAGAAATATTTACAAATAATACTAAATAATATTATTATTTTATTGCAATACTCACGCTTTCGTGCTGCTGCACGAGCGACAGCTCTGTGTTGAAGCAGCTCCTGAGCGCTGACACCAGCAGCAGGGGGCTCTGTTGATACCGACTCTGCGGACGCACAGAAATAACACAATTATTATTATTATTACCTTGAGTTAATATGGAAATAGTGAAGTAAAAATACCAGTAACGACGAGAGCATTAATGCCTTGGACCAGACCATCAGTGATCACAGACAAAAAAAGTGCATGTGATGGTTTTCTCTGAAGTTAATGACTGGTTCTTCTGAGTCCAACAACATAGTTCAAATTCATAATGCGAATAAATGATCTAGGAAAATTCTAGGGGTGATAAACATCAATATAAAGAAAAGAAGAAGCAAAGAGTAAGCGGTGTTTGGACCAAGCATTATAGGTTCTCTGTGGAGAACAGCATCTGGAATACAAAATCCTTGCCGCATTTTCCGCAGACTTCCTGACCATTATAGGAGCAACCATTTGGTTGTGATATTTTAGTTAATGAATTAAAAATTTTATTAATTGAACAATTTTATCAATATATTAATATATTAATTTTATCAATCTCAGTAAATTTAACAATATTAGCAAATAACTCAGAAACTTAATAGCAATAAACAATTCAAAGCAAACTTTTGAAATACCGTTACTTCTTACAGTGGTGACCGCAACAGTAAGTCGGTCTCGATTTATCTCAGTAATTTAACAATGGTATTAACTAAGTAACTGCTTAATAGTCATAAGTAACATAACAACAGTATTAAAATAACTCATTAAGATAACAATATGCCTAATGAACTGACAGCAAACTGCTGAGATGCCTCTTCTAGCCGGGAGCGCAGCAGGAAGTCAGTCTCAGTGTGCAGTTTAGCCTCTATCTCCCGCATGAGCTCCAGCAGCAGGCCACCCGCGAACTCGCTGTGTGACGGGTTCTCCACGTCCATCTCGTGCCTGCAACATAACTGTATTGTATTAGAATAAGTGTTATAGATTTAGATGTAATTAATAGAGGGTTACAACGTACGTGCGTTTATATGTAAATGACGATTAGATGATTATTGGGGTTAGGAATACCTATACCTATATATCTAGGTATGATAGGTTTATAATGCCTATACATATACCTAGGTACAATAGGTATATAATACCTATACATATATATCTACAAGCTGTGAGGAATACTACACGTCCATCTCGTGTCTGCATCGTAATAACATGAATTCATAGCTAATGTTATATATTTAGATTTAATTTCTGCACGGTTACAACGTGTTTTATAGTGAATGTTAATTTTTTAGATGATAATTAGCTGAGTAGGCGGCTCGTCCTTCTCTTCTTTTCCTTTCCGTCCTTCCCGTGTACGTCTTAATTCACGTCCTTCCCATGCATTGGTACACCGAAATAACAGGTATTTATAGGTTGTAAATATTTTTAGCGAAACTTTTGTTAGCTTAGTTTTAATAGTCTATTTTTTTATGCGCTCCTATGATTTACATACTTGTTTATCCGACCTTTAGAGTGTGAAGATAGCGACAACGTATCTATAGTTTCATGTTAGCTCAGTTCGTAGCCCGCGTCAAAACTGCCCACAATATTTCGGTGCGTTGATTTATGCCTTCATATAACTTGTTTATAGTTCTGATGATTATTTGTTATATTCGAATATTATAAGCATACAATGAAGTTTATAGGGTTAATATATTTGTCTGTTCTTACAGATACAATCTTTTAATCCAATAAAAGGAAAATTGTTGTTGAAACCGTGCCATGTTACCCTAAAAAACGCGGACTTATACGTCAAACCAAAACCCAACAAAACGAAAAGCGTTTTACATAGGTAAGCATGAATATTTAGAATGTTTACTAATTACTAAATTAGGAACTGTATCAAATAGTAATTTATTGCCAGTATTTATATCTTTTTATTGCCAGGACAAAACTGGTCGGGTTCAAGTTGACTAATATACTTAAGATAAGCGAGGTGAAATAGAAGAGCGTGAGAGGTATTCAAGTTCAGAGACAAATAGAAATATTACACAACAGAAAAGCTTTCTAAAACTTTTGTAGACAATTTTACTCAAGGTATGAACGCTATTTCTTTAGACACTGTTGATTTTATAAAACTCCCTTCCTTATTGAAACAATTAGAATAGCATATTTATGATGGTTGAGGAGACTCGGTGTACGGAAAATTGCTATCTCCAGTTCAGGGCTGAAAATGGAGGCTTCCATTCAGGAAAAAAATTGAAATGAAATTTAGTACAAGCTTTTGACTTCAAGAAGTTTACCAAAGTATTGAAATAATTAACTTTGCGATCGTAAAGTTGACCGCACGATGCGGTACTTTCCTACAACTGTAAAGAGTTGTCTGCATTAGACATCGCCTCTACACACGAGATATTCTCCTCTACACACGAGATATTCTCCTCTACACACGAGATATTCTCCTCTACACACGAGATATTCTCCTCTACACGAGCTGTCTCTTATACACATCTAGATGTGTATAAGAGACAGGTGCACGGTACAGCAGATCGCTGGAGGTTGAGGTGCACGGTACAGCAGATCGCTGGAGGTTGAGGTGCACGGTACAGCAGATCGCTGGAGGTTGAGGTGCACGGTACAGCGGATCGCTGGAGGTGCACTCATGAAAGCACTGCATGATGTTGCACTGCATAAAAATACATCATGCAATTCCAAAGCATTAAATTTCACGGTATTTGCAATGCATTGCAGCGCAGGACGATGCAGTGTCCGGCATGGCGGCGGCGGCGCCATTTTGTGTTGAGTTTCAGGCCGCGGCATCGACCGCCGCCCCCTCCTGGCGCCGGCCTTTTATATGCATCGCAGCGGCCTCCGTGAAACTAGATGTTGTCTAGTACATGCTGCTTCCTACACCCGGCCTCCTAGAATATAGAAGCAGTTCCTATAAGCTAAGTCCTACGGGCTATAATCTACATGCTACTTCTTATAGACGCAGCATTTTATCTTTTGACTACTACAATAGCATAGCATCTTCAGCGTCGAATAAATAGGCCTGTTTAGGCCAGTAGCAGATTCTTGTACTTTTTTTTACTTGTTCACAGATCTAAAAACTGGTCTTTTGACAAAATCTTTTCAGCTGACGTTGGTTGGTTTGCAATTACATCATCACTGGGCTTTTACTATAGTTCCGTATAGGGCGCTAAAGCATGCCAAACTGAACATATTCTTTTGCATAGCTTTATCTAGTCTGTTCTTGAACGCGTTCATGCTTGGAGCGCCAACGATGCTATCAGGGAGGCTGTTCCACATGTCGGTGATTCCAAGTGAGAAGAAATGTTGTCGCGTGGAGAAGTTGCAACGCAGTTTATTTTGTTTATAGACGTGGCCCCTGGTGTTGGTTCTTGTTTCAAATTCAATAAATCTTCTGGGACATTTTACAAACCATGAGTATACTTGTATACTTCAATGAAGTCACCACGCAGACGTTAACAGAGGCTGGAAGCTTCATAATCTTTACTCTTTCCCTTTAAGCCCCCCTTTCCCTTCATAATTTATAATCTTTCCCTTTTAATTATCTTTCTTGCACGTCTCTGAACATTATCTTCTAAATTTTTGTTCATTTCAAGTTTCAGTGACCACACGGCGTTTTCAAATTGCACGACAGCAGTAAACAACAGCTCCTTCGCTTCTGCATATAGGAACTCGCAAGAACGTCTGATCAGTACAAGAAATTTATTGGATTTGTTAGCTTTCGTTTCAACATGCTTAGCTTTTCAGCTCCTTGTCGACATGTTTTGTGACGAAAGGGAGCCAGTAGATGCATTGTACCTCGATTTTGCCAAGGCATTTGACAATGTCCCACATGAGCGGTTGTTGCGGAAATTGCAGTCTTTGGGAATTGACAGCAATGTACTCAAATGGATCAGAGATTTTCTAGTAGGGAGACGCCAACGTGTCAGTATTAATGGGTCCGTATCAGACTGGGCTTCAGCGCGCAGCGGCGTGCCACAAGGAAGCGTTCTCGGGCCTGTTTTATTCGTTGCGTTTATAAACGATCTGCCAGCAGCTATGTGTCTAGCGTGTGCTCGATGTATGCTGACGACACAAAAATTTATAATACAGTGAAGAATACGTCGCAAAAAGTACAGTTACAAGGTGATCTGACAGGCTGGTTGACTGGGCTGATAAGTGGCAGCTGCGTTTTAACGCTGACAAATGTAAAGTAATCCACCTTGGCAAGAATAATGAACAGCAAGATTACAGTATGAGAAGACACGGTTGCAACGACAGAGTGATGATGTCGAAGTCGACAATGGAAAAAGATTTAGGAGTTAATATCGACAATAGTTGAAATTTTCTAAGCATATTGAAGGTCAAGTTAATAAAGCCAATAGACGACTTGGACTGATCAGACGCTCTTTCGAGTTCCTAGATGCAGAAGCGATGAAGCAGTTGTTTGTTGCTGTCGTGCGCCCGAACCTAGAGTTTGGAAACATCGTGTGGTCACCGAAACTTGAAAAGGGCAAAAATTTAATAGAGAGTGTTCAAAGACGTGCAACAAGGATAATTCCGGGCTTGAAAGGCAAGTCCTATGAGGAAAGATCAAAGATTATGAAGCTTCCAAGCCTCAGTTATCGACGTCTGCGTGGGGAACTCATTGAAGCATACAAGTATACTCATGGCTTATATACAAGGTCTCAGAAGGATTACTAGAATTTGAAACCAGAACCAACACCAGGGGCCACAGCTATAAACTAAAAAAACTGCGTTGTAACACATCCATGCGACAACATTTCTTCTCGCTTTGAGTCACCGACATGTGTAACAGCCTCCCTGATGGCATCGTTGACGCTCCGAGTATGAACGCCTTCAAGAACAGACTGGACGAAGCTATGCAGGAGCATATGTTCAGGCTTGAAATGCCTAGCAAATTACGGACCAGGCAATAAGTCCAGCAGCTATCTCAATCAATCGTCAGTTATGGAAAGATCGGGTTTCAATGGCCGGATCCCTAATTGTGAATCAAGTCACGAAAAATTCAAGAATCGGCAACAGGCCATGGGCCAATTTCTTCAGTGCTGCCACTTCTATTCTATTCTATAAACTCCGAGCTCTTTTTCCACACTAGACTTTTCAATCATTACTCTCTCGTTGCAACCACGTCTTCTCATACTGTAATCTTGCTGTTCATTGTTCTTCCCGAGGTGAAGTACTTTACACTTGTCAGCATTAAAACGCAGCGCCACTTATCAGCCCAGTTAACTAAACTGTCAATATCATCTTGCAATTGCGCTTTATTTGACGCATCCTTCACTGTATTATAAACTTTTACATCGTCAGCATACATATAGCACACGCTTGACACTACTTCTGGCAGATTGTTAAAAAAAAAATTAGATCAGTACTCACTGCAGTAAGTGACAGAGAGCGCATTTTCTCGTCCGTCCCTGAAGTCACGAACGGACGGACATGACGAGCACAATAGCGTCTTTTTTCCATAAATGAGAAAATGCGCCAAAAACAACGAATGAAACAGGCATAAGAACAGACTAGATATAATAGCAACTATGAGAAGTTAAGCACACACAGCATTAACCTGAATGAGGATCTGGAGTATTACTCCGAAACCACTAGGAGTCATACTGCATGATTAGATTAGTGAGTGTGGACACAATTAAAAAAAATTTAAGTCAGTACTCACTGCAGTGCGTGACAGAGAGCGCATTTTCTCGTCGACGAAAACGTGAAGTCGCGGACAGACAGACAGACAGACAGACGGACGGACGGACATGGCGAGCACAATAGTGCATTTTTTCCATAAATGAGAAAATGCGCTAACTAGTTTATTATGTTATAACGCAATAAGATAATATCACAAAAAAATTCAATCTGTTGCTGAAAAACTGAGATTTTAAGGTATTTGAACAATATGTTGTAATGCCCAATTTAACCGTCTTCATTTATGA